GATCGTGGGTTCAAATCCCGCTTGTGCTATTGACTTTTTTTATCTCAACTAAAAACCTTAATTAATTGTAATATTTATCCATATTATTTAATGGTAGAGGTGAATTAAACCGCAATGGACTATTTTCAATTTTTTATGATGTTATTTTAAATAACAAATATGCCAAATGGGACTTATTAATTTGCTTTTGTGTTTTAAGTGGTCATTTCAAGCTATATATTAATAAATTTTCAACACATAAATGATAAAAATAAAAGCTGATTTATATAGTGCTGTTAAAAAAAAGAAAGAAAAAAAAGGGTTTTTATAATTGTTTAAATCTTGGAGAAGTGAGAGTCTTGGCTCGTTTGAAAAAAATTGGCGTGCTCAGGTAAGTATTGTAAATTATTAAATGTTAGACATTGTGGAATTAAATTATTTGTTAATTTTTTTCTAATGGTAATAATTTTAATTACGGTGTGCAGTTGGGGATAAAAAATTCAACATGTCGAATAAATTTAAGACAAATTTTGTTCGACCTCTTATATAGCATAATTTTTCACTACCAGCAGTTTTATTCAATGACAAATCTTATAATTAAAAAAAAAGGGGCAATACTTATTAACTTAAATAAACTAAAACTTACAAGCGGATGATGGTTAGGAGGTTTTCAATGAAACGTTTTTTAGTGATAACAGGTCAAAACATCACATCTGCCCAATGGACCCCAGGAGCCAAGAACAAATATTAAGTGTAAAAATGGCCAAAAATTGTGTTAGCAAAGCTGCTCAATCAATTTAAATTAAATTTCAAAAAATGTAAGAACATTGAAAAATATTATAAGATGCATAGGGGTTAGGTGAAATCAGCCCCAGGAAGTCCCTATTAAAATGTTAAATATTATGGTGAACTTTGCAAAAGGTTAAAAGTTAATTTTAAAATTTGGTAATTGATAAAAAGATTCCAAATTTAGACTTCTTACTTCACTTCTGTGATGTAAATAAAATAAATCTAACCATCTAAGATCATTCTCTGGGTGTGAAATATGTTGGTATGAAGGTGCCTGTAGGAAAGAAATTTAAAAATGCAATGAATTAAGAAATCTAAATTTGGCATCTTTTTTTATCATTAACAAATTTTGTAACTAACATTTAGTCTTTTGCAGAGACAGAATACACCACAATATTTAATAATTTTATTAAGGGCTTCCTGGGGCTAATTTTGCCAAACCTCTACACAAGTGTCTAATATTTTTTGACTAGCATCACTAAAAAAGTTACATTGAAGTTGGTGATTGCACGACCTTAGCCTCAACTTGTTTTTATGCCAAGGAGAATGAAGTAATCTTATGTATCTTTTTGATAAATTTGAAGGGTTCAGTGAATGAATTTAGTTTCATTTGTGCCTCTTCTCATTAATTCTTATTTGCATAACTTTTGATTACATCTCTTTATGCCAAGATGCTGGAATTTTTTTTTTTTTTTTGCTATTTATTCAAATAAACATACTTTATAATCTTTCATTTCAAGATATTCTTCTGTTAAGGGTTTTCTTTTATTCAGAATTTACTTCCAGTTTAAGAAAAATATTTTATCTGTCATTTTACATTGGAAGCGTAAATACTTTTCTAATATTCAAATATTTTGCGTAAGCAGAAGGTCCTAGAAGAGTAAAAATAAACAATTACAAAACTCCAATACCTTGGCCTTTATTTGATACACAAAGAAAAATATTAAAAGTATTTTATATTAGTTTTTAATAATTATGGTTTATATTTGTATTAATTTAAATATGTACTACTAAAAAAATTATCGTGTAAGAAAACAGGCAGAAAGTTGCTGTTTATTTGGTATTAATTAACTTAAAAGTTGAAAAATTGTCAGACATAGAATGATGAAATCAAAAGTTTTATTTTCAGGGTCTCATCTTGCTCTGGTAGGGACCTGCCCCCATTGTGGCATTAAGTACGAGAACCAATCAGCCCTAAAGTACCATGTGCGACTCGTCCACTCGGATTTCACTAATAAACAGTGTTGTTACCTTTGCCCACAGTCATTTATAACGAGGGACTGTTTCAAATCGCACATGCGGTCCGTTCATAGCGTCAGAAATTGATCTGTATGTAATTGTCAATTGCCTACGATTAAAGTCAGGCCAGACTGATTGGCACACATTCAAATGTGGAACAGTAAGTCTAAAAATTTATGAGTGGCTTCAGCTTGCATTGGGGGCAGTTCCCGGTCAACTAACAACTAACCAACTGCGACAAGTGGGGAGCAAATTTCTGCGTATAAAACTGTAAACGTATATAATTAAAACTAACTTATTCTAACATTTACAGAATTCTTTTTGTTTTTAAAAATATGCTGGAAGTTAACACAACTATCATTAATTAGTTTATCGCTTTGAGTACAGTTCAGCAGAGAATCATCACAGCCGGTAGTGATTACTCTATCGGCTGGGTGGAGGTCTGCATGTTAAAAAGACAATGATGACATTTTGAAATTATAATGATAGAATGTCTTACTGGGGTTAGTTAATAGTTTTGTTTCTTAATATCTTAAATAATTTACTACCATCCGTAAACAGTAATGATAAATAAAAAAAATAGCTATAAAACTAGCAATATAGAAAACTTACTTGATTTTATTTTTATTATATGCCCTTTTCGTAAAAGAATGTCTTAAGTGGGATGTTTAAAGGTAAACCAAGGATCAAAAATATTCAATAAAAGCCTTAAATAGTTCATATTATCAGTTTGTTTTCTGTAGTTTGCCAGGCAGATTCCAGTTAAGTATTATTGCTGATAATAATAGGCAATCATTTTATATTTTGATTTTTTTCGTATCCAATTAGTTGTCTATTCAAAATTTTCACTTTTTTTTTTTTTTTTTTTTTTTTTTTTAAGAAAAAGACTCTTCCTGGGTCATGGTGACTTAACACCTCTTTCTTAAACTACATCCTAAAAGATCTTTAGGAAAGTGAATTGACTTTTTTATTTCCATACCGCAGAAAGTGCACTACAATGAACTAAGGTAGTTGTTTATTTTCTGAGGCGTTGATATAGCCTTTGCGAAGTTTCCAGGCTATATTGCGTTTCCTAGTGCACATTCTGACGTTTCTGCTGTTTTTTTTGTTTTTTGTTTTTGACATGATTTGGCAGATTTCTCTGTCAGCTTTTCCCAATTTTTAATTAATTCTTCTTCTTTGTTGAGGAGCATTTTTGTCTTGTACCTGGTGAATTCATTCAGTGTGTTCAATTTTGATTTAAAATGCTTTGAGGCGTGCCCACTTGTGGTTCTGGTAGGAAGGGTGCTGTTCCTGTTTTTCTTAATATTTTTTTTTCCTGTTCATTTCCTTGAGTCCTGGCACCAGAATCAGATATTTTCCTTTTTAACCAGTAGTTTGAGATATGCTTGGCATTCCCAGACCAGCTTTGAGATAAAGAAAATAATTTTCTGTTGACAAAAGTCTATAGCAGAAGTTTTTTCCAGTTCTATTATTTCTTTGATTTCTAGGTTTTGAAGTAAGGTACTGTCCTCACTGACTTGCAGGTCCAAGGCTGTGAGTGCTGCTCGGCTCTCTAAGAGCTTTGCACTTTTTTAAGTATTTCTTGTGCACAGAGTGATATTGTATGGATCACAGATTGGAAAATTAATGGTGTGCGGCCTAGAGGTTTTGGTAGAAGGAACAAAATTTTGTTCTTTTGGCTCCTGCCCTCACTAGACCTTTCATTTTATATCCATCTATGCACCATAAATAAGGACCTTTATTAGTTTCATGGTTTTTATTCTTCCAAACATCCCTTGTTATTTTCATTTGAAAGGGTCTGTCAAAAAAATTCAATTCAATTTTGTCAAATATTTTTGTAGAATTTAGTTTTAATTTTTTTGGATTCTATGATGGCTTTCTCTTACATCAGGTTGTTATTTTGTTTTGTTCTAACTCATAATAAAATCCTATGGTTCAGTTTCAAATTATAACACTACAAACAACTAAGTAAAAAGATAAGATGAGAACTTTTGACTAAACTTCATCGTAAATGTACATGTTTATTGAGCTTCTTCTGGGGTTTGCAATGTACAAAACATTTGTAGTTTGGTCTTTTTTGTCTGCCTATCCTTGCTGTTTTGGTTAGCCTTCACAGGTTCACAGCATGATAGCGAGAAACTGAAATCATCTGACATACTAAATTATTTGTACCACTAAATCATTTTGCCTTAATGAATTATAAAATAACAAAAAGAAACTTGATAGTGTTAATTGTTATTATTATAAGTCGAACCTTTAGTTCACAGGCATCTAAAAATTAGAAAGCGAACAGCAAGTTTGTTTAATGATAGCTAGTGAAACAGTGTTTTTGAAAATGAAACAATTAAAAGGCTGGTTCCCCCCCATATGCCATATTTTTGCTTTCTTTTGTTTTAAAATGATTACATGTTTAAATTAACATACATTTAAATATGCAAGTGATGCAGAAAAATTGCAAAATGGTACTCAAAAGGGAAAATGAATTAAAGACCCTAGTTAAAATTTTGTGTGACTTTTCATCTGTAACTGCCAATGGGTATTTTGGCCAAAATTGATATTACAAGAATTTGTCTACCAATGCCACATTTAGGTTTTACTCATGTACACAACTATAATTTTATATAGAAAGATTTTTTTACCAATACTTCTTTCACTCATATCCTCATCTTTATTTTTTAAATAATTAATTTTTTTCCTAAACTCAAATATTTTTAGCTTCTAAAGTTAAGTTACTAAACAGGTAGAAAAGTGATTATTGCGATTGATTGCTAAAATTAATAAAATGTATATAAAACAAGCGTGAAACCATTGAAACAAAAATAGAAATGTTTGAAGAATAATCGATTAGCTTCTTTAATTGAATAGCTAAGGAATATTTTTACTCCAGCATTTTCAAGTATAAACTTAGTTTAGGGAAAAAAGTACACCTAGTCTGATAAAATGTAATCGTGACAGTTTCGAAGGCGATATGAACGTGTTTGATTTTACAGGTGATCGAAACGGAAGGCGGCCTTGCCCACTGTGCACCAAGGTCATATCGAACAAGTCGAATCTGTTGAAACACATGCGGATACGGCACAGTGACGCGTACCACCCGGCATGCTGTTTGCTGTGCAACAAGGTCTTCAAAAACAAATACAGCCTGAGAGCACATCTGAACATCTACCACAAAGAGTTTCTGTCACCCGGTACGCCCCAGCCGCAGCAGCAGAGCCAGCAGATCGGACAGCAAATCGAACCCCACCCACAGTACTTACCAAGTGCCTGATTCTTAAATCCTAAGAGCGACTGATAATTTATATAATCTCTTGGTGTGGTCGGGGGAGGAAGTTCAAAATACCCACTCGTTTATTTCGCTGCTGGATGCCCGCTTGCTTCCAACTGACATTCACCCTTTGCAGCACAGAGAATAAATTATTTAGCTGTACTCACACCCTTTAAAAGAATATTTTTTAAGATTTTTAACTGATTTTAAAAAATCATCTTTTTTAATTAAAAACAAACTGTTTGACAAAATTATTATAATTAAATTGTAGTTTATTTAAGGGTATTTTCTTTGTTTCATTTTAAAGAAATTAAAAATATTTTTGCAAGTGCAATTTTTGGAGAGAAAATTTTTCTGAAATTTGTCAAAATTTGGAATCTTAAAATGTCAGTGTTATTAATTTATAAGTGACAACATAATTTTAAGAGTTTGACAATGTGTAAATACAAATGTGTGTGGGGGTATAAGAGAAATGATACAGTGAGGGCGATTGAAAAATTCCAAAGATTTTTTTTAAACAAAGTATTTTTCTTTTATTTTCATAAATAGTAATATTTTTTTCATCGTCTTTTGTATTTTATATAGTTACGTGTGAAAAAGTATATAATAGATGAACTGGTTCTTTTAAATGTAGGTTTTTAAGTGTAATCAAAAGAAATGAATTTTGCCTTTCCTATAATCAAAATAATAAATGCAGACATCTCTTGATGCACTTCTTATGTTTTATAGCTTACATTATGCTGCAATCAGAAAAAAGTACTGTTTAGAATTCATTTCATGGCATATAATTAATTCCTCATCAATGAGGTTTTCACAGATGGTTCCTAACAGATAATTTCATATTCAGTCTATTGAGATCTCAACCACTCCCTCTTTTCTCCAAATTTCAATAGGGACAACATAAAAGAGGAATAATATGTTATTTATTTATTTAATTAGTAGTGTGTAATTTATTGAAATTTATTAATTATGAAGTGATTTTCAATGTTTTTACAGTAAAATGTTATTTCTTTTTTTAAATAAGTAGTATCCACTAGTGCAAAATGGTATCAATTATAAACGTAATTTAAGCTTGCATCGCAACAAGAAAAAAAATTCTTTTTTTTTCTCAAAAGAAACAAATGTCATATCCATTTAAAATGTTAAAAGTATTTTTATATGAAAAATGTAAACAATATACCTTAACGTTTTATACTGTTCAGTTGAGGTATAGAAAAGCTTTGTATGTATTATATTTTTGTATAATCGATGGACAGTTTGAAGCACAATTTATAAAGCATTTGATACACTTTGTATGTGCCTTTATTGAGGATGGATTTTTTAATATATCAAATTTTTATAAATGTAAAGTAAATTTATTTTAAATGAACAATTTTTATAACGCATATCTAATTATGTACTTGTTGAAATATTGGCAAAGAAGCCTTTAAAAATAAAAAAAGTAAGAAAACATATACATATCTAAAATGATACCTCAATAATTGTGCATTATTATTTTAGTACATACAGGATTTAATTGTAAAAAAAAGTATATTACACAATATATTTATGCAAGTAACCTTTTACGTGTTTTTATCCTTATCCTTCTTTTACTTTTGATAACAAAGCGGGGCAAAAAAGGAGATAGTCATCAGGAAGACCGCAACTGTTTTGGCCTTCGGCATTCCAAGCAGGCTGATAAGGATCAAGTCCAAAGTAACACGCCGCTGGAGGGGTCTCGAGTATTTGATTTAAGCCGGCAGACAGATGGAAGTATCAAATAGACTTTTATCTGAAAATGAAATGTGAGTATTTCAATATACGTTAATCACAACTAAACATTTCAAAAAAGAAAGAAAAAAAAAGCCAAATCTTGTCTCTCAGACAGTGATGTTTATTTAACAATTAAAATAAATGCATTAGTCTGACTTTTGGCTCACTTTATCCTACGTTCTTTATCAGATAAAATGTAATTATAAAAAATATAACACATTTATATTATATATAATGTAAATTTCTTATAAACATAAAAAAAATTGATTTAAATTTTATGCTATGCTATATAAATTTTTAATGCTAAATTTTATTTTTAGCTAATTAAAATTTTGCAAATATACTATTTTAAAATAGTCTTATTTAATAAAATTTATTTTTTACAAAGTGGCTGATATTACAAAATAATTTATATTTTAGGAATTTAGGCACTTATTTGTAATTTGTATAATAGTTTACATGAATTTTTTAAATTATTCATAAAACAAATTTAAATTTAAATTATTATTTTAGTATTCAGTGAGAACTCTCTAATACTTGCCATTGCTATTTGATAAATGAAAACAGAAAAAATTTGCGTCTGTCATCAGTTTGCACTTTAGCCTGGATTTCTGGTTGAATCATTTGTTGAATCAAAAATACCTTCTTATTTTTATATTTACTCATATTTCTTATTATTTATTAGTTAAAACATGTTTTCACTTTTTTAAACCTAAAGTGTAAAACAAGTCATTTTAAGAGTACAGATTACATTTATGACCGAGGAAAATCTAGGTCAAGGAGACAGTTAATTGCATATTTTTATTGAAACGTCAAGAAAATACTGATTGGTTGTAACAAAAAACCTTACTTCATGACGTAAACACTTTTAAAAGTTCATTTATCTTTTTTTTCGTATATTAAATTTGAAATAGGTTTTTCATTAGCTATAGTCAATAAAATCTGATTCAATTGGATTTCTATTTATAGTAAAATGATAAATATATTCGTGAAGTAGTTTTTAGTTTACGGATTAGATTTTCTTTTATATTAAATTGAGGTCGTTGAACCGTCTTTATCAAATATGGCACAAAGGCACTACTCACAGTGGAATTTTTTTCTTCTAATAGACCCATTTATTCAATTCGGAACAATTCTCGTTAACTTTTTGTTCTTTCATTACTTATAAAACCATTATTTATAACTGTTATTGAATTAACTTTATTGATAATAAGGTTCATCACCCTGCAGATCACAGGAGGCAATCTCATGATAAATAAATTTATGTAGTCAATTAATTCTGTTATAGTTTCTTCTTTTCTTATATTAACAATAAAGATAATTTAATAACAGTTATAAATAAGTTTATGATTTTCTTTTAAGCAATTGAGAAGAAATGTACCATTAGGATTGCATTTACAAATATTAAAATTGATGTGAATTATGTTTTATTGAATATATGAAATTGTTATAAGTTAAAATAAAATGGACAACATAAAACCTAAGAAATAAAAATCATTTTATTTTTTAATTTCTGCTTCAAAAAATATAATAAAAATAATGAAATCATAACATATTTCAACCTAGATTCTATTTTAGAGTAGAATGTGGGGGGGGGGCAATTTTGAAAATAATTTGTTTAGATTTTGGGTCAACTATGTGCCGATTCTCATTTGTCATTTAGATAAAAAATAATCGAATATACTAGTTTCAGTTCGCCAGTGTCAAATGATATGTATATTAAATTATTAAGATATATTAATTTAGGTTTTAAAGGTCCTAATTCTAGAATAATGTCAAATATTTTTTTTTTTAAATCTTTGGGTAAATTCAGCATTAATATTAATTTCACTAATTTCGTGGTCTGCTTGACCAATTAATATATTACAATTATTTAAGGTTTTTAATTGAGATAAAAAAGTCAATGGCACGAGCGGGATTCGAACCCACGAGAAAATGGCAAAAAGGAGGGAAAACTCAAAAAATGTGGGGTTGAGATGGGAAGTTGGTGTCCAAGTGGATAGAGGTGACGATTGCTCAAGTGGTAGCAGCATCATATCTAGCCGAAGATCGTGGGTTCAAATCCCGCTCGTGCCATTGACTTTTTTATCTCAATTAAAAACCTTAATTAATTGTAATTAATATTAATTCCATTATATTTCATGGTCTGATTGACCAAATAACATCTTTCAATTAAATAATCAACAAGAACAAAGTAATAGTGAACTCCTCACTGGTTCTTTCAATTAATTAATCTTTTTATTGGTCGAAATGAAAAAGTTAGTGTCAAGAACGGGAACCCATGACCTTCAGCTAAATAAACCACTGCTCTACCACTTGAGCTATCGTGATTAATATTAGTACGCAGATATTAATATATAGATACGAATATTCGTGTTTATATGAAAAGGGAAAAACTTAAAACTAAAATTTCAATAAATATTAAATAACACCACAAATATAATATTATAGGCTTGTACAATTTATTGCCAATTCTGGCTTTTGTACATCAACACCTCTACAGTTTAACCCGAATCTATAAATTAATGAATTGAAAATAAGATGTGACGTTTTGATTTTTATATAGAAACAATGCTGTGCAATTTATAACTGGCATATTTTTTATCATAATTTTAATGTTAAATTAAATTTATGAGCCCAAGCCCTATAATTTAAGAAACAAACCTATTTAATTGATTTGGATAATCGAGATTAATACAAGTGATGAATTTCTCACTGAACAAAGCATCGCAATATTTTACCTGAAATAATATTAATTAATATTCTGTTATTGCACACTAATATACCTGAAATATCAGGTGAAGGAAAATAAATAGAATGAAATATATTCCGATAATCGTACTTCTTTCTAAGATTATAATTTACATGAAGAAAACTGAATTTTGTTTGATATTCTGTTAAATTTGGAAATTTCAACCAAATCTATGTGAGTTTTTCTCCTTTCGGGAAAAAAAGGTTTTATCAGATCTACGAATTTCACTGAAATTTATTTTTGACGTTCTTATTTTTTTAGCTGGATATTAATTAATGTCCGGCAAATATTTCTCAACATTGCACCTGTTAAAGTGTGAAATGTCAACTATTTTGTGATGAAGAATAATTTCGATCTAGCAGATGCCCTTTTTAAAAGAATTATGGACTTGAATCTCAGGTATCGTGTTCCAACAAACTCTTTAGCATCTACCAACGACTGCTTTCTTCTTTTTTTTTTAAAGATTGATCTTACTAATGCAATCTTATCGTGTTTGAAAGACAGTCACTTTATATTGGTGCATTAAAGGCGTATAAAATGAGTATAACTTATTTTAAAAATTGGAGAACATCACAAAAAAAAGTCTTGAAAAGTTTAAGTGGGACATGACACAAGAAAAGGTTGGGAAACACTACTCTAATCTTCATTATCTTAATATTATTTATTTTAGGAAAACAAATTCAATTGAATTAGCAATTTGTTTATGCTTTGTTATTGAGTACATCAAATTAAATGAAAAAAATAGATCAAAGTTGAATCTTTTCTAGCTTTAGCTTGAAATTCTTATTGACACAATGTTATATTTTCTTTTAACGTAGATTGATTATCATTTTTCTAATCAATATCTATTCATTTTGTAATACTATTATCACATTTTCATATTAACCTTTGGATTAATACGTTGTACAGGAAAGAGAATTGTTCCACATGTTGATCTTTCAATTATAAATTTTTATTTGTATTTGCGCATTTTCTACAACGTATACAGTTTGTAGGTGTTCAATAGAGGATGTTTCCTGTGATTGAAATAGTTAATTAAAATGTAGCTCATGTGTTTAAATGGTTTGACCTTTAAATTTTTTGAAAAAATGTTTCCACAATTGCCCAATTCACACATCATTTAGCAGTTATAGCCTCGCTGTCACAAGTCAATCACTGTCGAGAGAATTCCAATGGAAAAATTGTCTTTAAATGAGCTTAAGTATAAAAGGTAAACACAATTTTTTTTTCCAAAATCAAGTTTACATTCATACAAAAATAATGGAATGATTTTCAAATATTTTGGTATAGTAGTAGAAATAATTTAACAAAGATAATGTCAAAACATGTTATTTGTTGATTAAACTAGTCACTAAAATTAGAAATTTATTTTTAAAACTTCCTCCTTTGAAAACCATTCTAAAACTGGTTTTAGGGAAAGTATATGGAGGGACGAATGTGGCCTAGTCTCATTTTGCAAGGTTTAAATGCTCACTCATTGTATTGATCAGAAAAGTTAATAAAGGGTATTGTTACACACTTGACTTTTACCCATTGTTCTCTTCACTTTTCAACCGATAGAGACCCAGTTGTGATAAAATATGTCAAATATTTTACAGTGTCAATGTGTTTTGTTACATTTGAATATTTATTAGTTGTTTTAAGTTCAAGGCTTTTTTTGTTAAGAAGTTTACTAAAGTGGTTTTCCCTAGCCAAGGTAAAGAACACATAGTAAAAAAATACTTTAGCCAGAATTTGTGTCTTATCGTTTGTTTGAAATGGATTTAAAAGTGATGTTATTAGCGACGGAAGATTGTGACTTTTATTCCAAACGTGTGAGAGTATTTTTATTAAATATGGATTCAACATGGGACACATAAATCTTTGTAAGTTGTGCTATAATATTTTTATATATATAAAGTGCCTACCCTAATTAAACAATATATTAAAATTAATTAACAATCTAGAAAGTAATAAAAATATTTGTTTAATCTTTTTACAATGTTTGTCTTACAAAACAATGGCTATAACAGCAATAAGATTTTAAAGGCTATTTACAAGTTTATTTTACAATAAAAATGAATAGCATTTTAAAAATTTGATACAATTTTCAGTGATTTATTTACAAAATACTAATAATTGAATAATAATACATTAATTTTTTTTATATTAAATGTTCAATTTATAACTAATAATTTATTTTTAAATTATAAGAAAGACCTAAGTGGATTATTTTGCAGAATTTTGGTTGTGAATTCATACAAATAGATTAATTTAAAAATAATCTAAGTACAATTGAGGAACAATATAAAGGTTATATTTTATTAATTAAATTTATATATATTTAAGTTTATTTTATCATACAAATTAATGTTAATAACAATATCATGTCTTTCTGTAGAGATTTGACATGATTTTCAGTGATTTATTTACAAAATCCTAATAATTAAATAATAATATTTATAATATAATAAAAGACAAAAGTTAATTTTTTTTGTATAATTTTTGTTCAGCCATACTGAATTCATTCAAAAGAATTAATTTAGAAATAATCTAAGTACAATTGAAAAACCATTATAAAGATTACAGTTAATTTTTGTTCTTTAAATTTATTACATAATTAAGTTTATTTTATAATAAAAATAATATCGATAGCAATATCATCTGTTTATAGCGATTTGATACAATTTTCAGTGATTAATGTACAAGCTAATAATAATTAAATAATAATATGTTAATTTTTATACTAAAAGTTCAATTTGTAACTAACAATTTATCGTAATTTACTTTTAAATTATAAGAAAGGTTATTTTGTTATTATATAAGGTGGGTTATTTTGTGGAATTTTTGTTGAGGCTAGAATATTCTTAATTTATTCAAAAATATTAATAGAAAAAAAGTTTAATTGAAAAACATTATAAAGATTTGATTTTATTAATTAAATTTTATATATAACTTGTTGGAGAAATTCCATGAACTGGAGTGTCTCTATAAAATAGTGGACTCATAGAAGTAATGAAAAGATGGATGAAGAGGCTAAAGCCTTCGTCCCAGCCTTCGATCTTACAATTAATCGCCTCAATCCAGGCCTCAGACGCTAAAAATGCATTGAAAATCACGATTAAAAGAGAATGGCAGTGGCGGCGGGCCAGATCGGCAGAAGTTGTCACGAATCAAGAGCATTTATATATATTTGTCAATAGATGGCATGCAGAGAATGATAAAAGAAGGGTCAATGACAGGCCAAATGAGGTTGACACAGGGACAATTCTTTTTGGGCCAAACAAAGCCTGTCTATTTGGGGTATAATGAACATCATCAGTCTTCAACTTGGTTGGTTATGTAATGGGTGTAAAATGTAATGTAATCGAACAATCCACCACCCTAACTGAGTGTATGTAAATAAGAAAAAACATATTTAAGAGTGAGAATATGGGTTTGGATTTAGGAAGTGAATGCGTTGAGGACTGAATTGACCTGGAGCCCAACCTTGGAGGCAAACTGGAATTGCTGGTGGACAGCTATCAACAAGTGATAGTTTCAACTCTGTGTTTGCATGCACATGCATGTGCAGATTTGAGCTTATACATATCAATAATCAGTAAATTATAAGAAAGACAAAAAAAAGTTGAAAAACTGTATAAAGATGATATTTTATCTTGTTTTTGTTTTTAATTCTAAATAAGAATGTGGAAAGTTTTTCAACCTACAAATCATGGAAAAAAGGACTAGTTAACTACACTCCACATCATCAAATACTTCAAGATTGGTCTTCTCTTCCCTTGCTGTACATTTTCGTTTTAATTTAATAAAAAATAGTGGAATAGGGTAGTGTAATTTTGTGAGAAAAATTGCCCATTTTAGTTGTTGATTTGACACAATTTTGACTTATTTTTGAAAACAGGATACATTTTTTTACAGCCGCAGAAGGAAAATGGACGTTGCCACACTTGAAAATGCTTTGGATGAGAAGTCAAAAAACTTCTGGTGGATATTGTCGTTGTTTTTGCTTACAAGCTCACCAGGGATTTTAAACTCGATGCATATAACGTCTTATGTTTTCCTAGCTGATAATCCAGTTGTATGGTGTCATGTGCCTGAACTCACCAACTCAAACTGGACAAGCGAGCAGATTCGAAATATTAGTTCACTTGAGTAAGCAAAAATTAAATAATTTTTTTTTAATATACATACTTTTTAAATTTTCAGTACTACCAAAGAAGAAAATTGCTACATGTATGATTGGAATTATACATTATTCAGTGCAATTGGCTATGAAGAGAGTCTAAATTTTATTTCTGGTCAGAAAAATAGACCGGACAAAATAAAGTGTACAAGCTATGATTACAATGAGACGATTTCCTCAGTCGTCAGTGAGGTGATTAGTTATACATATATACTAAAAATCTTTTACAGGTTATTAAGAAAATTTGAATTCCTGTCTGCAGTGGGATCTCGTTTGTGATGCTACCCCTTTAAAATCTCTTGTACAAGTAGCAGTTGCAGTCGGAAAATTTGTTGGTGCTTTCTGTTTTGGAATGGTTGCCGATAAGTGAGTAGAATTTTTTGTTCATTATTTAAACTGAGAGTCAAAAATAATATAGTTCTTATATTACATAAAATTTATATTACAATTAATTATCTACAGTCATACATTTAAAAAGGCTCATTTTTTGATATATTTATGTAGATTCTAATTGCTTTTCAAAAACAATGCTACATTTTATTGCCATGTAAAAAATTATATAATATTGGTTAATATAATTAATGCAACTTTTCAGATTTGGCCGAAAAAAAGTTTTTCTGTTTTGTTGCATACTTTACATGATAGCTGGGCCCATAGCTGCAATTGCATCTACATATGCACTTCTCTTATTAATGAGGGTACTTATAGGCATTGCTGGTTCTGGCGTTTATGAGGCTGGCTATACTATCTGTAAGTCAAGAATTTCGATCCGTTTGGTACTTAAAACAAAGAAACCATAAACATGTGCATGGATAAAAATTTTAGACATTGATGTTTTTTCGACGAACAAGAAATAAACCTGTTCTGTTTGTCGTAGGAGGTGAAGTTAGAATTTAAAAAAAATTGTGTAGGTAATAGTCTAAATAGCAAATTAAATGCCTGCTAACTCACCTTTCAGCAGGTTGAAACCAGAGCCAAAATGAAATCAAGGGTGAGAAAATCAGGCAGTCAGTGAGTATTTATTGTCTCAAGTTAATATTGTTTGTGTCCTACCTTCAATTTATTTATTGAATTTTATAATTTAATTTATTCTTCTTCATAAAAAGTTACTAATATTTTAACATGTTACCTTAAACTTTTAAGCATGGGGATTTTAAAAAGCTAAAATTCGGTTCACCCTTTAATATTTTCTTAAAGTTTGAATTGCGAACAATATTACTTGCTTGTGTTTTTCAAACACCAAGGAGAAAACAGAAAAGCACAAATATTTGATTTTTTGTTTTTTACATTGCCCATTATTTAAAAATGTAAATGTAAAGCATCACAAAATTTCTTTTAACATATTTTCAAAAAATTGAAATTACATCCTAAAAATTGCCAAATTGATCAAGGAGAATAAAATAAATCAATCAAAATGAGAAGATGAACAAAACAATGAGTCTATTACCTGCCTATTTTGTTTTCAGTTGTAGTTTGGAAAATTTTTAAATTATTGAACATGGAAAAATGATATTGACAAACTCAAGTTTGTATTTATTAGCATTTTTATTTTACGGCATTGTACATTCGATCAATCTCTTATATTGGCTTGTTTTGTCTAAGCAATAAGAGAGAGAATTTGACTTAGGTGCTTTGCTGGTTATTCTTGTGTAGGGGAAGGTGGGGGTTCTAAAATTCAATAAACTGGAAATTACCATCTTCAAAATTTATTTTAATACACTTAGGTTTTTGAAATGTACACAATCACAACAAAATCTTAATTAATCTAACAAGTCAGCCACAAATCTGGGATGAGTCTGTTAATAAAGGGACTTACCCCAAACAACACTCATCACGATTAGCGTTCACAGCATCCCAGCGCCTTTCCAGTTTCTTAAGTGTCGGCCTGATCCAAGTCGCAATGGCTGGTCCTTGCTGCCTCTGGCTGGCTGAGTCCCCTTGTTGAGTCCTAGATGGAGTGCGGCTGCTTCTCTTCCAGATTGACTCCTGGAGTTCACTGCCTGGGGTGAGTCTTTGACTCACTGGGTTGAGCCGTTGGACTTGACTGACTGGTGTGAGCCCTTGAGTTTGTCTCACTGATTTGAGTCCATCCAGACAGACTTTTGATTTTCAAATCATCCTTTTTTATACCAGTTTCTCTACCGGAGTAGGGATGGAAAGGAAAACCAAAAGTTGGGGGAGTTCCTATTTCCATTCTGCGGGTGGACCAGCAAAGACTCTGATTTATGATATCCCACGTCACTCCATAATTTTGCCCTTGTGACAACCATTCAGTACTAAATAACTCAATGTTATTTATTTGATCGATTTTCCAACTATTGAAACTTTATGTATTCCAGGTTCTCATCCCGTGGCTCTCGTCTGGGTCTCTGACACCCTTCAACCTTCATTTTTATTGAACCAACTGTGCAATTATTGCAGGGCTAGGTGTTCCTGGTTTGTGAGAAATGTCACATTGCTTCCATCTGTGCTGTAACACCCTTCGACCAAATGCTTAATTATTGTGAAGTTATGTTCCCCAGATTGGTGGGGGACGTCACATTGTTCTTGTCTGAGTGATCGCCCCTTCTGACTTATAGCCTTTTTTTGTGTGGTCATTTTAAACTAATTTTTGTTGTTCTTATACTTATTCTAAGACAGGGACCGGTTTACAGCATATCCCTTTTTACATTGTATTAGCCTTCATTATATAAAGAATTTAAAAAAAATGTGCAATGATTGTATAAAAAATTGAAACAAACCACAATACATGATTTTAAAAAAAAGTCGAACATTTTAAATCTCTAAATTAATTATACTTTTTATCTAAGGTCTTGGTTGAGATGAAAAAGTTGTGTCACGAGTGGGATTTGAACCCCTGACTTTTGGCTGGGGAATTGGTATCTGAGTAGATCGAAATCATGATTGCTAAGGTGGTTACAGCGGTAGCATGTAGGCCAAAGGTCATGGGTTCGAATCCTGCTTGTGACGCTAACTTTTTCATCTTAACCAAGACCTTACATAAAAAGTATAATTAAGTGAAATAATTAAATTAATAATTATGACATATAAGGATTAATTTTAAAGGTCTTCAAAATCCCTAGAATGTTTCATTTTGCAACAGAATAAAATGTGCATGTACTGAAAAAACAAAAATATGTGAATCCATCTAAATTCTTTGAAGGACTGTTTGATTTTGTAACATCTTTCAAAATCTGTTTATTTTAATAAACTGAGTATCAATCTTCAGCTTTTTAATAAAACTTAACTGTTTTTGATTGACTAAGGCCTAGTGCTCACAAGTGATTTTCAGTTGCATTACAATTTCTGCATCCATATAGTACTCACAAGGGCTTCTTTTTCAATCAGTTTCAAGAGGCGGTTTGACGAATTAGTGGCATTTTGTGTGCTAGAGTTCACAAGGAAGAAGAAGAAGCAAAAAAAAAAAATTATCCATCAGCCTGGAAGAAAGTCTTCCTTTTCTAAACTATTCAGTTGTAAAGTTTGCATTCACAAGGGGGTTATTTTTTGACCATTTGTAAAAAGACTTCGACAAATCAGCTGCGCTTTGTGCTCTAGAGTTCAAAGTTTTTGGCTGCACCTTATCCAATAAGAAAATATTTTTGGTCAATCCCCACCATTTTACATAATTAAATTTGGTTTAAGCTTGAAAATTTTCTATAAAATGCACACATATTTAAGACAATTATCAATTTATTTTAACAATTTTTATAAAATATTCCTGTAATTTAATAGTAATTATGTTTTGAAAATTTTAGTGAGTGAAATGACAGTAAAGAAATACAGAACAAATCTTGGATGTTTATACAACATTTCATATTCGATTGGGCTAATTTTTCTACCAATATTCGCCTACTACAGTTCCGACTGGAGACGACTCCAACTGCTTTTATCCGCCCCTTCTGCTTTCCTTTTGATCCATTGCTGGCAAGTATAGACAACGATATAAACGATCATATAAATACAATTTGCATATTCTAGGTGCCTGCCCGAATCTCCTAGATGGTTGATGACACAGGGACGCAATAAAGAAGCTTGGAAATTAATCAAAGGCCCATATTCTGAACAGCGACCCATAACTGATGCCAATATACAGTCTGACACAGATGTATGTATTTTTTTAATTTTTATATTTTTGCTATCAAACATTGGTTATAACTTTGTTGCTTTTAGAATGTTCAGGAAGCAAAACATCCTTGGTACAAAAAAATATTCTTCGTCCTTCAAAAACTGTTTAAGCTGTTTTCCACAAAAGAGCTAAGAAGAAGAATTATAATATGCTATTTTTGCTGGCTAGTAGCATCAATGTCTTATTTTACAATTGGTAAGCAAATATTTCTATATAATTGTAAATAAAAATGAAGTATTGGGTTGTAAAATAAGCATATTCAATTTAATTTTTCTTATGTTTTAAAGCAATTTTTATTTAGTCCCAATGCTTCAAAACATCATTTATTATTAGTCATTATTGTTTACACACTCTCAAAAGGGATTAATTAAAATGTTTTATTTGTGTTTCGCTCGAGGTACAAGGTGTATAGGGAAAACCACTGCTCAGACTGTTAAGGAAATTTGTTACGCATACGGTGATGGCCCAGATTTATATACAATACAATTTCTTTTAAAAATATTAAAATACACAGGATGAAAGTCACAGGCATCAGCCAACTAATAACTTTTTCTTGTGTAGCATATATTTATTTTGAGAGTAAACGTAATAGAAAAATTTCAGTCACATAAAAAATCATATAATTTAAATTATTATACAAAATAAACAATTAACCTTAATTAAGTTTAAGATCTGAATTAAAATTTCCCAATTCAGTAAATCTGGTATTTTTATCATGGAAGTTCTTTAATTTCTTTTGGACTATAATTCCTGCATAGTTCGAAAAATGTCTATTTTGCATTGAAAGGAAAAATTCAACTTGTTGTTGCCAGCATCCATATANTATATATATATATATATATATATATATATTTAGTAGTCATAATTGAAGTATTAATTATTTCAATTAATTATACTTTTTATTTAAGGTATTGGTTGAGATGAAAAAGGTAGTGTGACAAGCGGGATTTGAACTAACCAACCGTTGCTCTCTAACCACTTGAGCTATCATGAATTCAACATCAACTGAACTTTGAAAATATGGCAAAAAGAGGGAAAATTCTCAAGGTTGCAAGTTGAAATGAGGAGTTGGTCTCTGAGTGGATCGAAGTTGGATGGATTGATAGCTCAAGTGGTTAGAGCAGCAGTGTATTTCGGAATTTTTCATCTCAACCAAGACAATATCAAAAGTATAGAAGAAGTTGAAGAATTCAATTTTTTTTAGGTTTACCAGGTTAAAACTACAAAAGAGAATTATGTAAGAACTAGTTTTCAAATGGCCCTATTAACACAACCCCTTCAGAAAAATTAATATTTCATAAAAAGCAAAAAACTGCACACAGAAATTTTGGAAATAGGGCCCTCAAATAAGTTGCTGATTATTTCAAGAGAGTTCTATTGTGTAGGTTTGTTTAAGTTAAGCCCCTGGAAAATTAACTGAAATCCTAATCAAATTTTAGGCTCTTGTCTTTTTATTTTCATCTAAGAAAATTTAAAATTTGCAATAATCTTAAAATATGCAAATTTATGCAAATAAATTTTGAACCATCTTTCCATAGAGATATGTCTTATGTAAATAATTGATCAACATGATCGTATGGCAAAAGAATGCGTACAAATCCGGGCTCTAGCAATGATTGTTTAGGGGAAGTAAGAGGTTTGTTTCAGAAGCAGAACACTTGATTTTAAAGATGCAAACCATTCTAGTGATTCTTCTATCATTGATTATGACTGAGTGCAAGTTTTTGCGCCAAGTAACCCATACTCAGTGACATGAGTCATCGGAGAGATTGTTTCAACACATCTGAGAGCTGCTGGATATGTTTATTAGAGGCTATGGGTTCCTCACATGCTGACTGAAGAATCGATTAAATTGCTTCTCTGTGATACCTTTCTAAAATGCCATGACCCATTTTTCAAAAGATTAATAGCTAAAAGATTAATGAAAAGTCATTTACAACAATGAACAGAGAGGAAAATCTTGGGAGGAAACACAGTGACTCACTGTTAATGTCTTCAAAAGCCAAATTACAACTCAAGAACATTTTTTCCATATGATGGGATTGGGAGGGAGTACTTTATTATGAGCTTCTTCTGCCCAATCAAATATTAATTTTGGTTAATTGTAGTGTACACTGCACACAATCCGAGTGATTAAAATCAGCATATAACAAATTCTTGTTCGATTCTTTTCTACTAGGATAATACTCACCCCCCTGTCTTTATAGACACTCCAAAAATAGTTAGAGTTTGGCTAGTCTAAGAAAAAAAAAATATTAATGGGAAAAACTTGACTTCACTTGAAGTCTGCAGAAAACACTTGGAGGAGTTCATTGCTCAAAAGCCTGAGAAGTTCTGGGAGAATGGAATTTCCAAATTACATTGACAATGGCAAAATAAATAGTGGAAAGTAATGGTTCATACATTGTTGATTAAATTTGCTCATAAGTACCTGATTTTTATTGAATATACCATTCACAAATCACATGGACTTATTTTACAACCTGATAGTTTTGGTTATTTCAACCATTAATTCAATTAACAAAATTAAGTAATTTATTACATTTCAGCCTTGAATGCTCATAATTTTACGGCAAATAAATATATTTATGTCGCCCTGAATGGTGTGGCGGAAGCTCCAGGGTACATTCTTCCATTAATTATTTTAGGTTTTATTGGACGAAAGCTAACTGGTGTTTTGCTTTTTCTAATAGCTGGAATCAGCTTGCTGATTATACTAGTGATTCCTTCAGGTATAAGATTTCACCATTGTTTGTATATAATTTAAAAAAATACTTATTACTAAAAATATAATATTTTTAGGAATCCCAATAATGATTGTAGCTCTAATAGGCCGATTATGCATGTCGGCCGTTTTTGCTGTGATAATTTTACACACATCTGAATTGTTTCCTACATCAAACAGAAACACTGCCATTGGGACAAGTTTAACGATGGCCCAAGTGGGCACGATAATCGCCCCATTCGTTGTAGACATCGGGGTGAGCTTAATTAACTAAATTTGATAAATCATAGTAAAAATATTAAACAAATTGAATCTAACTAGGGCGCTCAAGCGTGGTGGATACCAAGCACATTTTGTGGAGTGATGAGTATCATAGCAGGCCTTCTGATCCTACTCCTGCCTGAAACGAGAAACAAACCCATGCTCGACACAATACAAGAAGTCGACCAATCCAATAGATACAAAAATGTCAGTTTCAAAAACTGTTTTTCATTTAGTTAAAAACCAAACCAAAAAACACAGGAGAAACCAAAAAAAAAACAGACTTATCTATTATGAAAGAATTAAAACCAAGTAGTGTTAGTTTTGTTTTTTAGATTTTTGTATCTGAAAGGATGAGCTTGAAGAAAAAAAGGAATATATTTTTATGTATATGTATTTTCTGGTCAAACAAATTGAAATGTATATTTATTTTAAAGGCTTACTTTGAAAGCATAATGGTTTATATTTGATTAAAAATATAGAATTATTTTTGTATTTCTATGTATGTCATTTCCCAAGTTTAAATGATTAATGTTTTACTTTATTAGTTAAAACCAAACTATTTTGAAAAATGTTACTATGATAAATACATTGTTTTAGGGATTTGAATGCTATTTTTTCTGAAGGCGCATTATTTGACAATGAAATATCACAATTGTTACATTAATTTGTTGCTGGTGCTTATAATGAACTAGTTTTACATATTGTTGATTTATGTAAGCCAACATTGTACATGGTTAGGGTTGATGTTCATACAAATTGGTGTATTGTGTATTGTAAGTGGTAGAGTTGAGCCTATCACTTCTCGCAGTCCACCGGCAATTCTAGCTTTTGTAATTGACAATAAATTACCAGCAGGCTTTGTTAATCACCCACCCTGGGTCCTGGCAGTCCGAGGTCATACCTCTATCTTTTCCATCCGACACAATCAGTTCCCAAATCCATTCACACTCTTACTCTTAAATACATTCTTCTTAGTGCTTGATATTCCTCCATCACCCTTAACCTATCATATAACTAACCTCAATGAGTGTCGATATTCCATTGGCCTTCTCACTACACATTCATGCTAATAAATACATTCAGTCTAAACATAAAGAAAAACAATATGAGGTATCTAAAAGAATTATATACAGTAAAACAGTCCTGTTTTAAATTCCACCTTCATAATTTCTAAACAGTCCGGTTTTCTCTAAAAATCAGAACAGAGGACTCATAGATCCATATTGGGTGGCATTCTTGTACGCTCTCTATATGGAGTTGGAATGGCACCCTTCAATTAAGTGGGACACATTGAACAAACTTTCTCTACGTGCCAGACACATACAACCTCAACCTTGCATGACATGTTCTTAATTGGGTGAGGATGACCTCTCTTCTATGCATCCCATACTATGAGGGCTACCTATAGACTCTTGATGTGAGAGCTTCTCCGCCAACACTGCTACTTTCTTTTAATAATTTTTTAAAATGTATTTTTAATGTCAGAAGGCCGGATCGCAATGGTCAGGTCCATTTGACTGGTTTTCTTCTTACTTGAGGAATACCCTGCATTGTTATGGTTGATTAAAAAAACATACCTGCTGTATATTTTTTTATTATTATTAATTAATGGTTTCAAAGGTCCTACTTCCTTCATTCCTACTTTCTTCATCCTCAGATCCAAACTAGAGACACATAGTCTTCGCTCTGATTTACTTACTCTTTTCAAAATAATTAACTATTATATTGGCAGTCCTTTTTTACTCAGTCAAATTAACTTTTCTGTACTGAGCAACTTGACCAGGCAATATTTTTCATACAAATTACTTAACTTGCACTTCTGTACGTGTATGGTGGTCGTATGTATATAAATTTCCATATTTAACTTATATTATTTCTAATCAAAATATTTACTAGTAACATGATAGGGACTTTGAAATATGTAATTAATAAAAAAAAAATGCATAGCAGGCAATTTATTTTCTTTTTAAAAACTTAGAACACTGATGGATACTAAACAGTTACACAGTGCAGTGCTCTGGGGATTTAAAAAGAAAAATATTTTATTGTTATAGAAATAATAAAAGATAAGTTAGTTTAAAATGTACATAATAATTCAAGATTTGACTTGTCTGTACACTTGATGTAGAATGCAGAAAAAAAGAGGAATTAAAAATCGTAAGATTTGGAAAGTTATTGGCTGAATGCATCATTCTATCAATAGGAATATTTTTACTATGGTTAATAGTATGGTAGGAAATATAAAAAGTCTACTATGCATGGTGAAGTAGCTCGGTAAAGAAAAGCTAATTTGACTAAGAAAAAAAAGAATGTCAATATAGTAATTAATTATTTTGAAAAGAATGAGTAAATCAGAGCAAAGTCTACATGTCTATAGGGTAAGTAAATTAAAGTACTATTCAAATTGTCTACAGTTACTCCTATTTTATAGGCAAGAATTGTGAAAAATTTAAATTGTACTGATTGAAGTTAATAAATAAATTTTGCAGCGTAAAGATTCCAAACATTCAAGCACCGATCTTACAAGAAATATATAAAGAATAATCAAGGCATTTGGGTTGAGATCAGAAGAGTAATGGTATAAGAAACCCAGCATTTTTAAACCAGAGGATTTAATATGATCTATGTGGGCAATAAAATTTAATTTGTTGTCAAAAATGAAATAAAATAAAAATAAACAATGATAATAAAATCCCTCCAAAGAAAAGAGGGTAAAGAAAAAGAAGTGTTATCATGTTTTTGTTTTCTTATTGTTAAGTAGCATTAGTGTATTGATAGTATTTGAATGGAAAACGAAAAGGAGTCATGCTTAGACTGTTTATTATTATTAGTAGTATTATTATTATTATTGGCCATACAAGCCTATGGGGGAATGTTTAAATTACCAAAAAGTCTAATTAAAGAACAGTAATAAATTTTATAATTTAATTTTTTTTTGTGTGTGCATATATTTGGCCTTCCAAATTAAGTATTTTAAAAGGATAAATTAAAACCTTTGGATGGCAAAAGGATACATTAGTTATGAGTGAATATTTATTTTATTTTTTTATTTGTTTATTATTTTTTTGAGTCAGAGCTTTATAGCACTCAAAAGGGGTATAGCTACCCTAAGATAGAATGTTTAAATGTTAGAGCATGAAATGACCTTAGCCATTAAAACTCCCTTAAAAATTAATAATGATAATAAATAAATAATCATAAAAACATTAATTAATTAATTGAAAAAAACATGAAAGAAGTAGGGCGTTTGAAACATGTAATTAATTAAAAAAGATGCATGGCAGAAAAAAAAAAAAAAAAAAAAAAAGAAAAAAAAAAGGAAGAAGTTAGGCCTTTTAAACATGTAATTAATTAAAAAAATATGCAGAGTAAACAAATGTTGTTTAAATTTCTTTTTAATCGCCCAGAACATTGCTGGGTACTCAACAAATACAGAGAAAACCAGTGAAATATATGCACCAGCAACAATTTTATAAAAACTATAATATTTAATAATATTGTAAAATTAAGCCAGTTAATAATTGTTAGTTGTATTTTCTCATTAATAATTTTTTGGGTTTTGAGGTGAAACAGGAAAATTAGTAAATAAAGAATGTAAGTTGTGAATTGACAAAATGTAAATTGACATCATACACTATGTATGTTTCAACATTCATAGCATGTAAATAATTTAATATTAAAATTTTATAAAAATAATGAGAGACGTTTTAGTTTTTTTATTGTGAAATAAAGAATTAAATTGAAATTAAATTAATAAAAGGCAAATGACGTCCTATGCCTTTTGTCTGAGCCCAGATGTTGATGGAGGGAAAACATAACAGAAATGGAGGTTATATATTTGAAATTTAAACTTTGGGGTTGCTGGTTCAGACTTGCCAATTTTTAATCTCAAGGAAAAGGAATGAACCTAGGATTTTATTTTTTATACAAAAAAACAAATCTTCTTGTCATTCTGCTAATTAACCCTGGACCGTAAGAGTCGAGTCAAGTGAAAAGGATCATCGGACGGACCTGAGCATCCCGTTATGTATATGCAGTGCGGTATATGCAAAGACAACTTCATAAATTTTGAAAATCTGTACGCAGTACCATGCGGCCACGTATTCCATCACCATTGCATCACGTCATGGCTCGACATGGGGTAAGTTTGAATATTGGAGGAATTAGATTTTCAATTTACCATGCCTGTGGACATGTTCAGTTTCAGTCAAATTTGAACGTGAATTAACATAACTCATGACATGATGTTCATGTATGGGGTATAACTGCTGACGTATCTACTTCACATAGATACATGTAAATTAACATGGAACTTTGGTTGGGAGGGAGGTAAAATCAACGGACACAATCTACTTATCAGTGTTGCGGTAAACAAAATTTAGTTTATTATCATGAGTCTGCATGAGATGCAACAGAAAAATGATTGTTCTCAACCATCCTTCCTTTCTCACAATTTATCTGCAAGATTTTCGAAGATGGATGATCAATCGCGGATATCTGCTTGGATGGGCCTTGACTGCGTAGGCCGTATACATTGGTTTCTTAAGTTTGATCAATTTCAGTCAAATTTGAACTTGATTTTATGTCTATCTTTTTGATAATCATGAATGGTGCTGTCAGACATACGTAATGTTTTCAATAACACCTGCAAGCCCGATCGATTTATCAATGGTATAACTAATATTTAGTTTATTGTTATAAATCTGCAATGAGAAGAAACAAATATGATCTTCGTCCGTACTTCATGAGATATGCTAGAAGATTGGTGGATGTTGACGCAAGATGGCATACATAGGTTAAATACATTTCTTAAGAGTACTAGATGTCAGATAATAAAATTTAAAATTTTAAGGTTTATTTTAATTCACAGATTTCAGAATGGTGCTGGCTTTACTTTCAAAGTCACTGATGGCCAAAATTAATACATCACTCTTAAATTTTAATATATTTAGTATGTATGTATTCATAGTTTGCATACCAAAAATAGGTTTGGCCCTAAAAATAAGACATTTAAAAAGAAAATGTTTATTACCATTACCTAATTTAAAAAAAAAAAACAAACAATTATTGAGTAAAAAACAAAATTCAAAAACAAATAAAAATTTAAAAAAGCTATTTTGCTCCTTTTAATACTGAGAATTTCCACCTCTGGCACAAATCACACCTGTCAAATGTTTTTGTATTCCTTGGAAAATATTTCTGATAAAATCCTGAGGAATTGTGTCCCATTCATCGAGGACAGTCGTTTCCAACTCTTCTAGAGGTTAGGGCCTGGGTTTTGCCATCGTACTAGTCGCTTAAATTGAGTCCAGGTGTGTTCAATTGGGTTAAAATCTGGACTTTGAGCTAGCCACACCAAGCACTAAATTCCAATCAAATTCAGCTAGACATCCACAATACGTGCTCTAAGAAGCCTGGCATTATCCTGCAAGACTCACTGATGTGTGGAGCAAATGGAACTATGTACCTCTGAGAAGTAAGAAATCTTCCTTGCACTACAACCAATTTGGTGAAAGCGTCCAAGGAAATGCCACCCCAGAACAGCAATGACCAACTGTGGATTGCCACCTGAGGAACCTTACAGCATAGAGCGAACCTTTCCCCTGAGGGTCTCCATATGAAATTACGCCCAACTGAAGATGTGAGGCCAATTTTCACCTCATCTATAAAGAGAATTCTCTCCAATCTCCCTCCAAAAAACAGCTATATATTGATGAAATTCCAACACACATGTACTTTGGCTAATATATTAATAATAAAGGTATTAAAAAAAAAAAATTAAAAAAAAATACCATGTGTATAGGGGCCAGGAAACTCGCTTAGAAGAGGATGAAATTGTAAATCAAATCAGGTTTGGCGGGACGGGTTGAAACTTGAATAGGTGTATGTTTTTGTAGGTACTTCTACTCATAAAGCTGAAAAAGCTTTTTTTAATAGGAAGTGACAGTTTTGCATTATACTTGCACACATTTCTAATAATCAAAAAGTAAAATCAAATTATTTCTTTTATGACAATATTTTATCATACCTCCAAGTTAGTAATTTTAATAATTAAAGTTGCTTGTAAACTAATATTAAATTAGTTTCAATTGATGCGTTACACCTGTGAGAAATTCGAATTCCAATTCAAAATATATTTCTACATAAATTATTTTAATTAATTATACTTTTAAACTAAGGTCTTGGTTAAGATAATGTATTGAAAATATGGCAAAAAAAAGGGAAAATTCTTCGGGTTGAAGGTTGAGATGAGGAGTTGGTATCTGATTGGATCGAAGAGGAGTAGTGTATTGAGTCAAAAGTCATGGGTTCGATTCCCATTCATGGCACTAGCTTTTTTATCTAAGCCAATACCTTAGATTAAAGTATAATTAATTAAAACAGATCTCTATTTTTAAAATAACTAAGAATCTTGGTGTGCGCATGTGATAGTTATATGATAGTAGATAAAAATAAATTGCAGAGGCAGTAATACTCAGAGGTTTACAAAATTTTGTAATTCAGCCATGTTTGGCATTTTGCCATGTCAGTTGCTTTGAGTTTGGGTGATTTCTTAAGCATTGAGGATAGTAAAATGTTGAAAAGCAACTATAAAAGTATAAATAAAATTAATTTTTATATCGTAACATTATCCCCCAACACTCCTTGTAACTATCTTATAAGTATCAAGGAAAATAGTAAAACAAAATTTATACACTTTTAGAAAGCCAAATCTGTATCTATCGGCTATTTTGTTACAGAATGATATACCAATTTGATTTACTTGTATGTAAATAATATATTAAGTTTGGTCAAGGGATACTAGGGACAGGGAGAAGTGGAAGATGGATTAATAATAAAACAATAGTTTGTCATATAGGAATGGGAGCAATTTTTATTTATTTATATGACGGAAGAGTCGCTCAAGATTGAATTTTCTTGAAGTTTCTCAAGGTTAGAAAAGATGCAGAGTTTATTTATCGAAGGATTGGACCCAGGTAATATATAGATATAAATTAGTGATAGGCACAATTTCACCACATCTTCAATGCTGAAACTGTTATTAAATTATAGAAAATTGATGTACTATTTCTGCAGCACAGCAGATTAATTTTCGAAGCATTGGACCTCTTGTTTGTGAGTCTAATGTTGACATACTTAATTATGTATCAAGCACTGGCTAAATTTAACACTGACAAGTATGATTTAGAGAGGTAAATCAACAAAGCCCTGCTCTGTTGCATATTTTATCAGACATTCTGTAAGCAAATTAGATCAGAAAATGACCAAAATTTGGATTTGACTTCATTGTTGTGATTTTAGCCCTTTAAACCCTAATAAAACCCTTAGGACTGTGCAGAACGGTGTAAATTAATTTTTTTACTGATAATTTTGATAACTGACTGAGCATAATTTTGATAACAGGACTAAAATACATTCTAGTGCAAGCTCTAACATCATTTTTCTCAAAACCTAGGAGAGGGATTTTCATGGTTGATTGTCAAGTGCATTTTATAACTTATTAAACATTAAAATCGGACTATTATTTCCATTAAAAAAATGAGGTTAATTTCTGAAAAATCATTTTCCGTTTTGTGTATTTCCTTATACAAATCTTTTATATATTTTTACAAACATCATTAAAAAGCTAGGTTCCTCTTCTTTCAAATGGAATGTTTGACATTAAAATCTGTTTAGCAGTTTCAATCAGATGTTCCAATGTCTTCTCAAAAATTGGAAAAAATTTAGGGGTCAAAAATTAATAAATTTAAATGCGAACAAAAATTTAAATGAAATGTCATATTAGTTTCACGAGGGGGGGGGAATAGGACCTAGTTTACTTGAAAAATATTTGATTTTTAGAAATTTTTTGGTTATTGATAAACTTTGATAGCTTTTACTATAGTTTTATTGCAAGACATAAAAACAATGCTGTAAAATGAGACATTCACATAGTTGATTTGAGCAAGTAGAACAGCAAAATAAAAATATATTAAAAAAATTCCCCTTACCAGGGTGTATTTACAAGAAGTGGTGGATATGTGTCTGATATTTTAGAGTGTAGAATTAAAAAAAAAAAATCAAAATGTGTGACCCACTAACCTGGTCGTCCCCTTGTTAAGTCAATGGTGCTGTGCTGAGGGGACTCCTGCATTGATTCATTACGATTTGGACCTGGCTGAGCTTCCCATCACCCGTAATGGTGAGCTTTTTAAAGGTCATGGGTCTGCTGGGTGTTGAATCTGGTTTTGTCACTTTTGGTCATTTCACCAGCATTTAACCATTTTTAATGGTGGATTTCCTAGAATTTGCAGACCAGGATGCTCAGGGACAACCAATCTAGTGTTTCATCACCCCACATATCCTGATAAGAAATCTGACAATTTAAAATGATTAAAATTTGAGCAAGACAGACTTCATGAACAATTTACACAGTAAACATTATTTTCAGGTCTCACACTTGTCCCCAGTGCAGAAAGTCTACCGGAAAGAGAACCATATTGAAACTGTTTTTTGACATTGTTGAACCTCCAGATGAGGATAAGGAGGATCTAGCTACACTTAGGGGACGGAATGATGTCTTAAGATTCGAAATCACATGTAAAGACGTTGAAATCAAATCCCTCAAAAAGTCGGCAACGGAAGCTAATAACATTGCAAAAGAACTACGGTAAATTGTTGGGACAATTGTGCGACATCGGTCAGGCTTTAATTAAGGGCTTTTGAATTTAAACAGATCAATTGTTAAAACGCTCGAGGCTGAAATCGTTTCTATGCAGGAACAGTTGGATTTCCACAAAAGTAAATCGCATCTTTTAGTCAAAGTAACTAAAGAACTGAAAGAGAAGGTGGCTCAAATAGAATTGTACAAAAGAAAAATTGAAAGATTAAACGGGTAGATGAATTATGAATTTTTATTGGAATGAATTTCTATCTCATGCTTTCTTTGCTTTAGGATCAGGGCGTTGACCCAAGAACGTCTCAACGAAAGTGATATTAGAGATATTGTTAAAGAATTGAATAAAGACGATCTCATTGAAATAATCTGTGCAAATAAAAGGTCTGTATAATTATTTCAATTTCAAATATATAATGTATTGATGTTAATTTTAATTTTAATTCTAGGGAAACAAAAAAATTAATCGACAGTGAAAATTCGTTAGCAGGCCATTTGAGATCGGCAAATCATGAAATTCTTAAATTGAGACGGGACCTGGAGCAAGCAGATTCAAAAATTAACATCCTTCAACAAGTTGCAGAGTATGTACTATGGACTAATTTTTAAATTCCGTATTATAATATTACAATTTTTTTTCTCTTAGGGGGTTAAAGGCAAAACAAAATAAAAGTTCTGATGATGTTTCTATACTGTGAGTATCACTTGTACATATAGGTTTATGTTAGGAAATAAATAATATTTCAACTAGGTCCATCAATGAGAGCAACACGAGTTCTCACAGTGATTATACCGATGAATTTTCTGTAAGCAAATCCAATGAATCACCCAATGAAACTAAACAGTTGGTTAAATCAAAACCCAGGTCTAACCTTGAACAAACCAATACTGCTAAAAAGGTAAGCCTTCAGTTGTACAGTTAAATTACTTCTGTAATTCATTCTAACTATTGAATCAATATAAAAGGGTAAGTAAAAAAAATTAGAATTATACAGCACCTGTCTTTGGAAATACCAAAAAGCGTCGCTTTGCTCAAGATTGTTCCAAGGGTTTATTCCTTGGCGTCACGTATCTTGTGATGCTTGACAGGCTTTACTATCAGCGCCTTTGAGTCCTAGTGCTTGAGGAATTCGAGACAAAGGAGGCTCAGCCTTTCTTGTCGGTACAGACTCCCTGAATGAGGTTTCATCTATCTGTGACAGATTCTCAATTGACCCTCTCGGGCCTCGAAAAATGGTGGTAGTGTTTGGGTCGGTCACGTTGGGCTGAGGGCAACATGCAGATGAGGAGGCAAAAGCAGAGAAAGTCTCGCTCTTTAGACAGAACCACCGTGATCCACTGACAACGTATGTAGTAGTAAAAATGCAACAAAAGAACAAGTTGGCAAAGACATTGGGCCTCGTTAGAGAAGCTCTTGTGTTACAAAAGGCACGATGGCCCTTAACCATCATGTACAACGAACTATTATTTTCCTTCGCGTATTTTATTCCTTATTCGTTTTTCTGATATTCGCGTCAATTAGGCTTAGGGTGTTAGTGCAATCAACTTTCTCGTTTCTCTTTCTATATTGCTAGACCTACTCAACTTCAGGGCCTTGTCAGTCAACGATAAAAATAATTACATTTTCAAACAAGTAGTCAAGTTAGCACTTATTCTCCTCCATAGTACTTGATATTCCTCGGGCTAATTGGAAAAAGAATCCCTCCATTCATGCTAATAAATTACATTCACATACCAACTAGAATAAAAACACGAATAAAGCTAGTATGAATATGGACAGAAGATGATGAAACATAGCTACCAATAAAAAAATGCAAATATTTATTTTTTATGCAATACAATTTCATTGATTTGATTTTCTGTTGTTACCTTTTGATCTATCTGTTTAACGAACATCTGCTAAACCAAACTGTAATAAATAACATCTGCCCTTTGCACACTTTTCTTCCATTTCTTTCTTTGCTTTTCTTCTGTCTGCTCTTAAAAAGACCTATTAGTTTAAATTTTTAAAAGACAGTTCAAAAACTATTTTGGATCATATTTAGAATACATTAAATAATTTTTTAAAAATTTCTTTGTTGTAATATTAATTTTTTTTAGGCTGTTACGGAAACAAAAATTAAAGATCCTCTAGGATTGAGGAACACGCATATATTTAAACCACCTAGGATAATAACTGGAAACAAATTATTGACAAAGAGTAAATCAGCATGCACAATTGAGCCTGAATATTACAACGGTCTAGGTGGAAGCGCAAGGCTTAACGCTTTTCCCCAAGCGAAGCCACACCTATCTAAAATTCCAATGAAACATAAAAAATGAAAAAAAACTGGACCTAAGCTTTATGAACATTTGTTTAATTTATTTTCTTTTATAAATTATTATGTATTGTAAAGTTTAAAAAAGTGATTATAATTTACTTTTCTTGTTGTAGTTCAATTTATTTTCATTGCCAACCATGATGGAAGAAGTATGCATACTAAATTATCTTCGGCCAAATGATATGTTTAATAAATTTTAGTAAATTTATTATTATTTTGTCTTTTAGCCTCTTTAAATATCTCCAAACTGATATTGTTTTTAATTTCTGTTGCTGTAGTTGTAATTTTGGCTATATATGGTTTGTGTTTGATGACAAAACTTTTTTTCCTACTTTAAAAATAATTTAATAATTATAATTAGATGAAAAATATTTGTTTTTGTCGCCGATTGTGAAGCAAATCCACCTAATTCCTAATTTGATTTAAATCCCCCAAAATGTAAATTATCGACATTTAATCCTTTAAAAATGCCTTTATAATAAATAAAGACATTTTTAAAGGATGTTGTTTCATGCCAGTAACTCAATAATAAATTGCGTTAGTAGCATCAAGCAAACAATTATGAAAATGCCCACAACCAGCAAGTTGCTTATGCTAATGCAGTTGTTAAGGATGAAAAAAATCAGCTTTCTTTAGCGTGTTTTGGCAATGGTCTGTTAGGCATTCAGTGGCACAGGATACTGCAAAGCGTACTTGGAGATCACAGGTCGGGAAGCCTGAGAGCCAGGGGATGAGCCAATGACCAATTTATCAGATGGCACACAGAATTCACTTTTCCACTCCTGAAATATCTGAAAAACTTCGAACCGTGCAGGATGGGTCTGTTAGCACTGAAACAGTAAGGGGACTTGCAGAAATAGTCATCCTTCTTGATGAAATGAGTCTTCAAATCGCGATTACCTCAAGTGGTTAGGGCAGCGGTGTATTAAGCCAAAGGTTGTGGGTTTAGATCCTGCTCGTGACACTACCTTTTTCATCACCAAGATCTTAAATAAAAAGAATAATTTTGTAGGAATATTGGCCAATTCCACATAATATACTGTTTAATGTTTGAATCATAAATGACATTGCCAGGTAATACAACTATCAGCATTAATCATGGTCTTAAGAATACGATTTTTAAGAATTTTGAACAAAGGAATGAAAATGGTGATCGTATTCATAAATGAAATTAGGGATGGATAAAGGTTAAGAAGATTTATCCGTGAAAATGACACCAAAGCACAAAGTTACAACTAATAAACAAAATATAAATGAATTTTTTGAAATCAAACAAAATATTAAAAAAAGATTTTTGGGCTCTGAATAACTGTGTGCAGAACAGACAAAGATGTTACGTCTTCCCGCATGAGAAAAATAAGAAATCCTGTTCAATGTATCAAAGGAAAAGAAAAAGTGCAGATAAGAGATAAAGTAATATATCTTTGTAAAATGCTCGGGTATTGTTATAATTCAGCTCATTGTGCAGAAATACGTAGAAAGTAGATGACCAGATAGCATCAGAAAAGAAAAATACATTGTGTTTTCCTGCAGGAAGAAAAGAAGAGATCCTGCTCAATAATATTGAAGGGAAATGCCAAAATAATTATAATAATTTGGAAAAGACAAAATATAATTCTTTGGAATATACTTGGGTTTAAAAAAAAAATTGAAAAAAAATGGCTTTTGAAGATGGAAAAATTCTTTTTGGGAAAAAGATTAGGGAAATTTTATAATTCAACCTGAATCGATTTTTCGTAATTCTGCAAGATCTGAAATAAAATTCTTACCCAATTAGTCAAAGGGGAATGCAAAAATGGCTTTTGAAAAGATGGAAAAATTCTTTTTGGGAAAAAGATTAGGGAAATTTTATAATTCAACCTGAGACGAATTTTCGTAATTCTGCACGACCTGAAATAAAATTCTTGCTCAATTAGTCAAAGGGGCAAAAAATGGCTTTTGAAAAGATTGAACAATTATTTTTAAGAATAAGATTAAGGAAATTTTATAATTCAACCTGAATCGATTTTTCGTAATTCTGCAAGATCTGAAATAAAATTCTCACTCCATTTGTCAAAGGGGAATGCAAAAAATGGCTTTTGAAAAGACTGAACAATTATTTTTAGGAAAAGGATTAGGAAAATTTTATAATTCAACCTGAGACGAATTTTCGTAATTTTGTAAGGTTTTAAATAAAATTCTTGCTCAATTAGGCAAAGGGAAATGCGAAAAATGGGTATTAATTTGAGGTGTCGAGGATCTTAATAAGTTACGATGTCCTACAGGAGGATGGAAGAAATCTTATTCAATTAGTCAAAGGGGGAAATACGAGTAATGTACATTTAAAGAAAAATTGATGAGAGTGACATTCAGACGTAAAAAGGGTTTTTTAAAAAGATAATCCTCTTTAGTAAAATACTAAAATTTAATAACTCGAACTAATTGGAAAACGTATAACGGATGGGACTCGAGGGTTTCAATAAGTTAATGTAACCTGCAGGACGAAAGGAAGAGGTCCTGCTCAATTAATGAAAGGGAAACGCGAAAAATGTACGTTAAAAAGACCAAATTAGTGCTCTAGGGCCGAGAGACAATACATGGCCATTATTTACACTTTGAAACATTTTTGAAAAATCAGATGTTTTCGTGTAGTCTTACTGTCAATAGAGAAACCCATTTTTATACACGACTTTTGTAGTTTGTAAACCGGAATTTTGTTAATTGTGGAAAATAAGAAGTGAAATTTTTTTTTCTGAGGTTCGTGTTATAAGTCGGCTGGGATTGTTTGTGTTATAGGCCACACACTTTTCAATAGTGAAATTGTGCTTGCGTATATTTCAGATTTTTTCCGTGTTCACTCAAACCCCGTGGACGGGTCTGGAACGCGGCCGCCGTTCTTCTTGTTGTTAAATGGTTGTTCGGCGAACCGTGTACGAACTCCAGGACTGTCATTGGCTCGTGAACGACTCCAGCCCAGGGCGCGCCTCCCCCTCGCTCCAGTCGAAACCAGTCCAGTTCCAGGTGTACTCGACTCCACGGCCTCCTCTCAGCCCTTGATCCGACCCTGGTACCGCGCCTTCCAGCGATGTCAGAAGACATTCTAGATATACCAGGTGAGAAGGAAATTTCACTTAGACTTAAACAAAAGGGATTCATATTCAAAACACATGTGCCATGATATTTTTATTAATTTCGACCTTGTACAAAAACACTATTGTAACTATTTGAAGCTCCTATTCAACCACTATTGAATTGGTTTTTGGTCATAATCAACCTTGAAATGGTCCAAGTACATCTTCATACTTATAATCAAAAGTCTGATCGCACCTTCAATCAGCAGTTTCGAACTATTTTATTGAACATCGTCGAAAATTAAAGATTAAAATGTTCTTTAACAATTGTAGAGAAATTGATTATTTTACGAAATAATTTTAAAATACAAAATAAAAGTAGATAGTTTTTGCCTGTATTTTCACCATTTAAGCACAGCCTTAAACTATGAAGTTTTTTTTAATCTGTCCACAACTTTAATTATTAATACTAGAATAAAGCTCGAAGTCTCAAAGCAAATCTTCATACTTATAGGCAAAAGTTTTGTCGAACATTCACATTCAATCAGCAGTTTCGAACTATTTTATTGAACATCGTCGAAAATTAAAGACTAAAATATCCTTTATGAATTATAGAGAAATTGATTATTTTACGAAATAATTTTAAAATACAAAATAAAAGTACATAGTTTTTGCATGTATTTTCACCATTTAAGCACAGCTTTAAACTATGAAGTTTTTTTTAATCTGTCCTCAACTTTAATTATTAATGCTAGAATAAAGCTCGAAGTGTCAAAGCAAATCTTCATATTTATAGGCAAAAGTTTTGTCACACCTTCGATAAGCATTTTTGCATGTATTTTCACTATTTAAGCACAGGTTTAAACTATGAGTTTCTTGTACATCCACGTCCACAATTTTCGTGATTAATGCCAGAATAAAGTTCGAAGTGTCAAAGCAAATCTTCATACTTATAGGCAAAAGTTTTGTCACACCTTCGATAAGCATTTTTGCATGTATTTTCACCATTTAAGCACAGGTTTAAACTATGAAGTTTCTTGTTCATCCACGTCCACAATTTTCGTGATTAATGCCAGAATAAAGTTCGAAGGTGTCAAAGCAAATCTTCATACTTATAGGCAAAAGTTTTGTCATACCTTCAATAAGCAGTTTCGAACTATTTTATTGAATATCGTCGAAACTAACGATCAAAATGTCCTTTATCAATTGTAGAGCAGTTGATTATTTTACATAATAACTAACTTCCCCTTAAAAAAAAAAAAATACAAATAAAACTATATAGTTTTTGAACATAACGACTCCATTTTTAGCCGAACGTATTACGTTTATGAGGATCTAATTAGCTCCTTTTATAATATTTTGGCATGGATTTATTCGCTATTTAAGCACAGCTTTAAACTATCAACTTTTTCCATGTACGTCCACAATTCCAATGAAAATCCCAGAATAAAACCTGGAGGGGCGTCGGGGGCCGCAACGGTTTAGGCGTTGACACGTCGCTCATCGCTGTAAGGTAAAGGTCCTGGGTTCGAATCCAGCGGCTCTCCATTCGGACCCGACATACTTACAAATGGCCTTTTTTTTTTCAAAAACACCTGAGGGTTTATATGATCTCTGCTGTTGCGAACCCTCGTAAAAAAATAAATAAAACCTGGAAGAGGTCAAAGCACATCTTCATACTTATAAACAAAAGTTTTGTCTCACACAATCACCTCACAATACAAATACAAGTACATAGTTTTTTAATATAACGATTCCATTTTTACCAGAACGTATTACGTTTATGAGGATCAAATTTGTTCCTTTTATAATATTCTTGATATGTATTTTCACTATTTAAGCACAGGTTTAAACTATGAAGTTTTTTTTTAATCCACGTCCACAATTTGAATAATTAATACACCTTCCACACCTTCCATAAGCAGTTTCGAACTATTTTATTGAATATCGCCGAAGACTAACGATCAAAATGTCCTTTATCAATTATAGAGCAATTGATTATTTTACATAATAACTAATTTACCATTTAAAAAAACAAAAAGTACAAATAAAAGTATATAGTTTTTTAATATACCGGCTCCATTTTCACCATAACATTTTACGTTTATTAGCATCAAATTACCTTCTTTTATAATATTCTTGGCATGGATTTATTCGCTAATTAAGAACAGCTTTAAATTGTGGGTTTTTTCATCTACGTCCAGAGTTTCAATGAATAATGCCAGAATAAAACATGGAAGTGGTCAAAGCACATCATCATACTTATAAGCAAAAGTTTTGTCGCACCTTTCTTTCAATCAGAAATTTCGAACTAATTTATTGCAAACCTTCGTTATTATAACAGGATGTGTTATAATAAGGAAAGGAACTATAATGTATTATTTTCTAGTGATGTAAAAGTGCTTGAATTTCTGCTAGATCGATAGCAGTTGGTGCAGATGCGACTGATAATATTATTGTCATAATGTAAATTGGATGCCTCAAAAGATAAAAACAATAGATCAATAGTTGAACATTATAATGTTAGTTTTGACGTAAATTTTGTGGTTTGGTCTGTAGAGAGAAGTATTAGGAATAGGATATACTGACCATTGATGATGGTGCCTTACAAACCGAACAGCGAGAATAGGCAGAGAAAAACGATCGTAATCGACCGAACTATGAGTTCATCACTCTACAGACATTCAGAAGAAATTACACATAATTTTGATTTGTCGGACACCCACCATTCACAGAAAATGATCGGAAAGATCTTACTAAGAGTTTCATCACTCTGCATTCCTTCAGAAGAAATCAATTCTGTCAGAATACAAAACTCACCGTTGAAGATGGCGAAAAACCAAAGCGGGTCTAATAAATCAAAGCAGCGTGGATAGGTAGACCAAAACTATCGAAAACGGCCGAATTAAAGTACATTACTTTTCAGATTGTATTGAACACCATGCAGACCTACAGAAGAAATCATTTTGGTTTGTCAGATGCGAACCACCCATTGAAGATGGTGAAACGCTGAAACGAGTCTGTCTGACAAAAGCAGCGAGGATAGGCGGACCAGAGCGATCGGAAACTACCTAGCTAGAGGTTCATCAACCCGCAAATCTCAAGAGGAAATTTCACAACCATATTTCTTATTTAAAAGCTTTTAAACACAGAAACACAGGCATTAAAAACAGACCTTGCTTTCAGTTTTATGAAATATCCAAGATGAACTTTCACGTTCTTACAAATTACAAAAATTTGTAGTCGTAGACAGATTTTGGTAAATGGGATTTTTGTTACAATAACACCCGACTCTAGGATTCCTGGCAAAAACATTCTCTAATTGGAGTGCAATTGAACGTCGCACCAACTCTTTGTTCAGACTTTGCCCTTCAGATTACAATCTCTTCTGAATAATGGCCAACTTAAGGGAAAAAACTTTCGTACGCAGTAAAAACATTTTCAATCATATCTTAGGAATAGGGTCTTGGAGATGAGCAGTTATCAAATGTCGAATAGCCAAGTATGTTATGTTAGGTACACTGAAGAATAAAACAGAAAACGACAGAACTATGAGTTCATCACCCTTCGAAACTTCAGAAGAAATCATACATCATTTTTGGCTGCCAGACCCAAACCAAACCATTGATGGCAAAAAGCCGAGCGCGTCTGACAGATAAGCAAGGACAGAAAGACCCAATGATCATAAAAGACCAAACCGCAGGTTAAAGACTTCACATATCCCATGAAGAAATCTCACCATTTTCACACGCTTTTCCAAATTCAAAATGATTTTAGCTTAAAGCATAAAAAGTATTGATTGATAATTGCATAAGCCTACAGTTTGACAATCAATTTCAACTATATCTTGAAGAAGACGAGCTTAGGACGAATGTGTAATGAGAACGGTATCCAATTATTTATTTGTTCCAGTTTGCCGAGGCAGTTTGAGATGGATATTTTGTCAATTTTTTTGGAAGATAAATTAAATCTGATTTTGTCCCTTTTTCATAGATATGACCAATATTTATTCCAGAATATGCTTATTCTTCAATAAATCACCTTCGTTGATTTGTGGCCAAAATGATCACCAGAGGCGTTTAGATGTTTACTGCAGCACGTTTATTTTTTCATTAACTATGCTTTTGAGACTGTTGGGGTCTGCGGGGTGAACTAGTAGTTTAATCGTTTCCAATCCTCCTGGCTTCTCGTCATATTCAGTATTTGATCTATGCATTACCTCTTTTATGCTCTTTTTGTCAGTTTTAATGCTTATCGGACCAAACCAGCGATAGGTTAACCTACATGATCGGAAACGACCAAGCTACTGCCATTTACTTATATTTCACTATTATCTGAAGAAAATGGCCGAATTTCTTGTTTGTCGTCCATCACCCCGGCTTGTTCACATATGAAAAAAATATCTAATTTGTATAAGAATTGTTCAATTTTGTCTGCCAGACTCCGGAGTGGAAGAACACTAACGACTTCGTGATCACGAGTCGTCACCCTTTACAATAAAACAATGATCTTTTCTTAAGTAACCGCGGTGTAACATGCGATAAAAGACGGACCCTCCTTTCAGAAAAAGTGAAAAGCTAAACAGAAAATGATCCATAATCGTTATCGATAATTTTACTGCAATCTTCAAAAAATGGGTTTTTATATATTAAAATTTTCTAAAACCTTTTGACTTGATTTATTTTGTAATTAAGCATTTCTTATTATGGATTTATGTTGCTAATTTCTACTTTTTGAACGGAATTTAATAACTCCGGTAGATCACAATAGAATTTTAATAATATACCATGAAGAGTTAGTTTAAAGCTTGGATCACAAATTACTTCGACCCGTAAACTTTTCGAATTATCGACTAGTTGTGACAACAGCATAAACAAAGGGGTGGCATCGCTCCGGTTGACTTACGCTTCGATTCAACGTACGGCACGCAACATTTTTGTTTATGCTGAAACATAAGGCGGCCTTGGATTGTTTTTTTTTTAAGATTCAAATTATTCGAATTTTTTTTTTTATCAATCAAATTTTTATCGAATCATAAATAGATTTAATTTAATTTATATTTATAATTTTTTTTTTTAGATACGGGTGCGATTTTCACTTTCGGAAGAAGCCGATTCGCCGACAACACCCCGAGCCATTTCTTCGTGAGGAAAGACCCAATAATTGACCTATCTTGTGGCGACGAGCATACAGTCGTCGTCTGCAGTAAGTATTTTCGATAGTACTTAGTTTAATAATTAATTATTTAAAAATTTCAAAAATAAAACCGTAACTGCAGCAAAGATATGGAATGTAGAATAATAAATAAAAAATAAAAAAATTAAAATATACTATTATCTACGTGTTTCCTAGTGACCTGTTGTTTCACACAACACTTTCACACAAACCGATATGACACGAGAAAAATAGCACTACACTTTATGCTCTGAAGATGACCCGAATAAAGGTCGAAACGCCGGCAAAAAATTAAATAGGTGTTTTTGTAAATTACCTCATTCTTGACCGATCCTCACGATTTAAACAAATTATCATATACTACGAATAATACTCGATTCGTTTTAACTGAAACAAAAATCAAATCTATTTGAAGAAAGTTCAACAGCAAAGACGATTTCAGTATTGAAACTACCAAATTCTACAGGAAAACTTTGAAATAGAAATTCAAAGACTAAATTTAAAAAGGATACAAATAATACAAAAATAAATTGAACAATTTAAGAGTGAATCAACGTTAAATGTCATAAGTCAGATATTAATAAGCACGAGTTTCTGTGCTTACATTTTCTGTGACAATTGAAAGATATTTTATGAGAAGTTCTGCACTTTGTATATACAGGGTGAATTGCTACTCGTGCTACAAACTTCTCCAGTAGATTCTTCACCCTAAAATGAACAAAAAAGTTCATATTGTCCATGNATAAATGATATGTTATTTTTGTACAAATACTAAAAATAAACCTTAATATATATATATATTTTTTTAAACGTTTATTTTCAGTATTTATATAAAATAAATCATTTATGACATAATAAATGCAACAACACGGACATAAGTCCATCTGCTTTGTTGATGATTTTACAATGATAAACAAGAAATAATTTAATCAACAACACTACAAATATATTTCTTATACTATACAAATTCATAAATAATCAATAATAAATTATAAATATATATCCCACGAACCTTTAAATTACAAAGGCCTCTTTAAAAAAGGATTATGTATAAATAAATCTAGCAAAATTCTAAGAGAATAATTTTAAAGAAAGAATAAAGTTTATAATTTAAAAAATAGGTTTTTTGCATACATTTGGCATTCCAAGTTAAGTATTTTAAAAGGATAAATTAAAGCTTTGGATGGCAATAGGATGGATTAGAGAATGCTTGGAGTCAGAGATTTATATAATAATAATAATTGCTTTATTAAAACAAATTTTTTTCCGTTAAATTAAAGAACAAAAGCATTATGAACACAGTTCTATCCGTCTGCCAGAGGTCATTGGTTTACAAATATTATATGCAGTTTGGAGAAGAGAGAGAGAAAAGAAAAGAAAAAAATATACAAAATAAAATACAAAAACAAAGTATATAATATATAAAAAATACAAAATACAAAAATACAGTAAAAATAAATGAGCGAATGAATATTAAAAATGAGGACTATACCCAAAATTTTGATAGATTAATAACAATGAATAGAATAAAACTTAAAAATGAAATTCTTGAATCTATTCGTTCAATGTATAACATACCGAATCGAGCACTGAGTATTTCAGCCATTCAAGAACTGCAATAAACCACTTTTTGGGAGAGTAAAACAACCAAGGTGTAAGTGCTGAATCTCACCCAAAATCATTGCCACAAAGTGAAACACAGTCTCAACAGAATGAGAATTTCATAGGGAGCATATACCAAAGTTACACTTATTCCATACAGCTGAATTTATATGTAAAATGTCACATCTCAGCTTGAAAGCCCATCTTTGTCCATGCAAGGAAAGACCGACAAAATTAGGCTTATGGAAATCAAGCATGGGTGAAGCTTCTAATTTCATGTAAAGGTGTGTAGATATTTGTACCTGTAATAAGCAATCTTTCTGATGCTGAGAGGCAATCTTGGAAAGGAGAGCCAAAAAATGAACATGCCAATTACAGATGCTTTTCCAAGGGTTGATGTGGAGACTAGATTGTATTTGTTAAATAAAAATTTCTAATGAGCAAACCAATTGGGAATTAGACTTAGTTATTATTTCCAGTGCTGTGATTCTTGAAAACCTTGTATCCAAAGAAAGCATCACACTTTTGTTATGAAAGAAAAATGAAGCTTAAGCATATAAGAAAAAAACAACAACACCAAACCAGTTGCTGTTTCCAAACTCAGAAAATAGTTTGGAGTACTAGAGGGCAACTAAATAATTTACTTATGAATATAATTTGGCAAATTCTTCACCATGGAAAAATTCTACTACATAATTTGGACTTTGCAAAATATCTCTCTTATTTCTTTTAATAGGGGCAATAAAGCGATATGAGTCTTTTTTTTATTCATATTATACAAGATTTTTGCCTATCATCTGATCTACCATTTTTTATATATATTATGTATTCCTGGATTCAATCCTTTCATTGTACTTTAACTTTTATTTTATACTTTGAATATATCCCTGAAAAGATACATTCTTGTAACGCCCATATTTGTAAGTTGAAAATGATCAATTAGCTGTTTCCTCAGGAACATTAATTATTCAAAGAAATTTGAATTTTCATATCCTTTTACAAGGTTTCTTCGTACTGTTGAAATAGCCCAATATTTTTTTAACTTGCCATGCAGCCCCCTTACATTAAGGGGTGAACTATGAATTATGTACTATATTGATTATATCAACAAACATCTTGCATGCACCACCCTGCATACACAGCGTACTAATTTCGAAAGATATAAAATTGAATATTCATCAAGGTTAGCATAATATTTGTACGTTTCTCTAAGCTTGTGTATGCATGCACATAATTGACGACAAAATGTGGGCGAGTTTTGTATTTTGACTCTTTTTTCAACAAATTGTTTTTGAATGTTTTATAATAAAACTAAATATAATATATTTATATAATGAATGTTTAGAAATTATTGTAATATGTTAATTAAATATATATAATCTGTTACTCAATGCTTTTATTATTTTTCTTGTGGTCTTATTTATTCATTTAGTTTTTTTAAAATATACTGTATCATATTCGATTAGGCTAGGTTTATGGACTTTATGTATACATAATACAATATTGTATAATATCAATGTACTCTATTTATATCAAATTTAGATGATTCTAGCTAGAATTTAATTTTTTTTTTTCAGAGAAAGGAAGAGTATTTTCTTTTGGAAGGAATGCATTTGGTGAATTGGGTTTAGGAAGTCGGACGGCAGTTGCACGGCCAAATTGCATCAAAAGTATTTTAAAATCCCATTACAGATAATTCATAAAAGCTTACGAAATGTAAATTAATAAGTGATTTTTAATTTTTACCTGCAGCATTAAAACCGTTGAAAATTGTCCACGTTGCCAGCGGAAGAGGACACACCCTTTTTCTAACAGGTATTTCCATTAAAACAAATGTAGTTTTTAGATATAGAAGAATGAATTTTCACACAGAAAGATTGAAATAAATTCAGATGGTGGCCAGGTATATTCTTGTGGGAACAACGATGAAGGACAGCTCGGCCATGGTGACAACATGGACCTCGACCTGCCCGAAAAGATCAAACTCGACCAAAATGTCAAACAACTGTCTGCCGGTTTTAAACATTCAGCAGCTCTTACAGGTGAATTACTGAGTAATTTTTATTCATATTGGAATATTTTTACACTAACTTTTTGGTCACAAGGTGAAGGAAAAGTTTACGTCTGGGGTGACAACAGAGAAGGCCAGCTAGGACTAGGAGAAGACATTCCCAATGTTAATATACCGACACTTCTCAATATAGATTTCACCGTTGTACAAATTTCTTGCGGATATTATCATACATTACTATTATCAGGTAATTGTTTGGAAAAAACCATCATGTATAATGATATTAAAACTAGATTTTTGGCTAGATGAAGGAAAAGTGTATGCATTTGGCGAAGGAGAGTACGGCAAACTTGGATTTGGTGATGACAACAATTGTCATTATCCGAAATGCATTGAGATTAATTCAGTGGCAAGCTTTATTTCGGCCGGTGGAAACCACTCGTCCCTTCTAACAAGTAACACATATTTTAAATTATAATTTGACGAACACACAATTTTGAATTATTTTTTAATTAAAAGGAGATGGTAAACTTTATTTATGGGGGAACAATGACCATGGACAACTTGGATTGAAGGAAGTCTCAAATAGTTCAGTTCCAACTGCGCTACAATTTGACCAGATCATTATTTTTGTCTCACTCGGGGAAAACCATTCAGCTATTATAACAGGTATGTTCAAATTATATTTATAAATTCCAGAATTATATAAGTTCAGTTCTACACAAGCATACACTACTAGCAATTCGTAGGCTATTTCAGTTTTTGCGTTATTTACAATAAATTAACAGCAAGCCTCAGAATCACCCACCCTGCGTATTGGCAGTCCGAATGATGCCTTGGTCTTATCCATCCAGCCACCAAGGTTGGGTTCCAGGATCTATCAACAGCTAGGCCATTCCAGTCCCTAACACCATCAGTTTCTAAATCAAACTCACTCTCTCATTCACTAAAAAAAACTAAATACATTCGTCTGACATTTACATGCCATTTACTCAGTTAGTATGGTGGAGTACTTGATGTTATACCATCATCCTCTACACAAATTATATAACTATGGGGTAGTTGATGTGGTACTCAATATTGCCATATAGCCTCACACTATTCATTCATGTTAATAAATACATTTATTCTCAATGCATACTAGGGACACAAAATTATCAACTATATATATTCAAGAATTGGAACGGTTACCCAGATACTGCTGTGCTCAAGCACAATTTTCCTACATGCTCTTTATATGGATCCAAGGAATTGCACACCTCAAGCAGGTGTGCAATTTTCAGCATGCCAGACACATATGCGGGCTTTGGCCCATTAGTAAGTTCTGTGTGTCAACCTTGCATGGTCTATCCTTAATCGGATTCTCTGCCAATCCAGCTCATTGCCAAATACATTTTTTGTGTCAGGTGGATGGATCATGATGGTCAGGTCCGAGGGTTGCGACGTCCTGATCTGAGCCACTTTGTCTGCCTTTTCGTTACCCTCCAGACCTATGTGTTCAGGTACGAGACACTCCAATTTATGATATTTCTCCAAGATTGGTTGACAGGAGAACTGTCATAACAGATATTTAAAAAATTACTGAGCTATTAAAGGCTAAACAAAGACTGTTGTTAAAACAAAATTAACTATACTTACAAATTTATTAATTAATGGTTATTTTTGTGTTTTATTGCTTTTTAATATTTTTATATATTTTAACTTTTTGCACACAAACGTTGAAATAAAAAGGTCAATGTGATGGAAGGGAATTTGACCCACAATCTTCAGAACGATTACTTAATTTCATATTTAAACTCATTTTTATGAATTCATATGCTTGAACTTTTTCAATACTTGGCCTTGATGACAACATCAAACAACGTCCGAGCGGATCGAACTAGACCAAAAAAAAAGTCTGCAGGTTTTTAAACAATTAATGCTTTAAAGGAAAATTACCTAACAATAATTTAATACAATTATTGTTCAAAAGCTTCATTTCATGAATATGATGCCATTGCAAAGCATTTTACACATAGTGAAATATTAATTACATTTGTCATTTATAATATATCATGTCATTTATTCGGTAATTAACTAAATGCTTATTATGTTTTTCATGACAGAAAATGGAGAACTGTATACTTTTGGTGACAACAGACATGGAAAGTTGGCTATCGAAAAATCAGACGACCCGATACAGATGACACACGAACCATTAAAAGTTCAAAAGTTTAAAACTTTTATTGTCACAAAGGTGGGTGATTTTATTCGTAATAAATTATAAAATTTGTTTGTACCCCATACATTAGCAGAAAATAATTAAACAAAAAATAAATTGAATTTTAACATTTTCAACAGATTCTTACTAAAATTATATTTTTGTGTGTGTGTGAATGTGTTGTTTTTAGGTTAGTTGTGGTGGATGCCATACCATGGTCTTGGCTTTACCAAAAATGTCCAATTTCAAGTCTGGATCAACAGAAAGGTGTAAAAATTGGGAGATATATGATGTAATTGAAATTAATGGATTGTTTAAATTATTTCCCTGTAATGAATCCTTTGTCCCTTTTTTAGGTGTCTTCTTCTACAACTTCTTCGAGTAAAACGACACTACCTCCACTACATAAGCTCAGCCGTACTGCATCGTCTTCATCGCCTGTCCTCACCCCTCCTTCACCTTCTTTGCACAACACCGTCATCCATAAAGACGGCAAAGAACAATCCACTCCGTCTACACTTTCATTAACCGACAATTTTCCCTGTGCCTATCAATACTCTGATGAAATCAGTGAAAAAGAGGCCAACAGGGAGCAGAATGGAAACTATTTTGAAACTGAGCCCGAAACACCCATCCGCATGAGGTCGGTCTCGTGTCAAAACATTCCAGTCAAAGATGTAAGTGTCCCAGTTCCACAAAGAAGCAAAAGTTCTGAATCTCTTAAGAAACATACTAATAAACCAGTTTTTCAGAAGAAAAGCCTCACTTTCAATGATATAACTTTGCAAAGAAGCTTAAAATGTAGCCCCCCTAAGTCTGACAATTTTAAATCCAAACATTTTTCCAACAGTGGAACTTGCGAATCATCAGATTCTTTTGAAATTTGGTTTAAAAAGCATAAAGAAGAAATGAATTTTTTAGCAGGGCAAATATGTAGTGCCAGTCATAACCTTAAACAAGTTATGAAAAAGTTCGAAGGGTACTTTAATCAACCGAATCATAGTGATAAAAAAATAACAAATTCAAAATGTAAATGCGTCCACTCAAAAGAGTTTTGTGCAAATTGCAATTGGGACGAACTAAGCACAGCGACGCTAAGCACTCCTGAAAGCGTAACACACCAAGCACCCGAAATTCAGGGATCATACAGTTCTTTTATCAAAGATAAAAGTGGCAATTATTTTTCACTCGAAGAAAGCAATAAATTATTCTGGCTAAGAAATTCAGAAATGATGGACCTCATGGCAAATAATGAACTACTAAATTACAAAGGTGGCGCAGGCGATGGCCCAGAAGTCAATTTAGTTTCAAACAATTTGCAACAAATGGCAAGTTTTAATACTATTTTAACACAAATTAACAGACGAAATAATTAATGTTTGGAAAAAATGTTGCATGATTTTATAGAAACAAATCAATCGGTCATTGATACTCTGCCAATCAAAATTGTCTAATTTGCCAAACTTTTTTATAATGTTGACATGTAGTTACAAAGCACATTTAATTTAATGTATATATTTTATTTTACAGAAGACAGTAGAAGCCTATGGGAGTGATCTTGGAGAAATTGTTGAAGAAGGGGCAGGAGAAGGTATTCACTGCGGCAATCACAGTCCTGAAGGTAGCTTTTTAAAATTTTTTGTTAGTAATTTACAACATTTTCTGTTTTTCAGTGGAGTTTATGATCACAATCTATTTTTTAAACAAAATTTAATGTTGGGTTTCCCTAGTTTACGTACATGCACTTAAATACTTATCCATAAAGAATACATATTACTGTTAATGTAATATGATTAATAGTGTAATAAAATAAAAGTAATAATAAATAGCACAACAATAATTGAATAATAACAGTTATTAAATGGAGACGTATTTAATTCATAAGAACATCTTATGGTAGCCATGGTTTTAAGAGAAGAGATGTTGGATGACCTCAGTCCAACGTTGAAGATGGTTGCTCTTTTGACAAATTTCAAATTGTTGTTGAACTTCTGGTATTTTTGCACCATGAACTCCTTTATGATTTTAATATTTAAATCTTTAGATCTGGTAAACCGGGAACAATGACTGCTTGTTTAATATGTGACTGCATAAGACATGTGCATTTTGTCAACTGTCCTTCTAGGTGCAATGGATGCACGGTCCTTTTTAATACTCCCACCAGTTCAACTGGTACGCCATATCATTCCAATTCCCTAAGGCCACTTCAGAAAGTATAAAAAATTTTCAACTTCAACTTTCATGAGATATTTTAAAAGTTATTCTAATAAAATGTATAATTTGCTGCAAACATTTTGCTTGCTCATTACTTTGTTTACTTAATGTTGTAGTGATGCTTGTGTCATATTTTTATCACTTCGGTAAATGTTAAAAAATCATTTACATCGTTTTTAAATAATTACAAGAGTACTAGTTTATACAATAAATTGAGTTCTGCCTTGGACATCCAAAAAAGGTCAAGCATAGGACACAATGAACATATTAAAAATTGTACTTTGTAAGGTTTATAGTTTTTCAAGTTAGCACAGATGGTCCACCCTTCTGAACCAAATGTTAATGGTCTTAATACTGCCCTGAAGTAACAATTCACTTTTATTATTATTTTTTTGTTAATGATGGGATGCTGTCAGTGTCTTGCATAGGCTTCACATATGCTATAAATTTATGTGCAGTCTCCATATGAGCCTTTTATCAAGGTTAATAGTCTTCAAATTGCTCTGATGGAACAGTTGGCTTTTAAGGGATTTTGTTTTGTTCATGATGGGCAAGGACTATTACACTTTCTAGTTCATCTAGTTACACTTTTTTTGCAATATCAACATGACAACTGGATTAAGAAAGCTGTTTGTATCCAGTAAATAAAGAATTTAGAGATTTTCCTAAGGGCAATGAAATTCTTCTAAATTGTCAATTCATTACTCCATCAAGTCCATCAAACTGACTGAAAATATAGTGAAAGAGCTGAAGGAGAAAAAGCATAGTTGCTGTATTCCTAGACTCCGGGGCCGCGGTAGCCGAGTGGTTAAGGCGTCAGACTCTCGGCTAGTAGATCCCGCGGTCGTGGGTTCGATCCCCACCATTGCCTCTGGACTTTTTCTGGCGCCTAAGGGGACCGTTGGCCGCAATTGAAAGAAATTGACACTCATCAATGGAAGGGGTGGGATTGGATCTCAGCGACCCTAAATTTGGTCCCAACCCCCTTCAAAAATGAGTTTCTTTGATGGAAGAGCACCGGTACAACGGGGGCTCAAGTTCACATTTGTGTTGCGAGCCCTCCCCCAAAATATGGAGCCAGGGATAAAGTACAATAAGCTGTACAGCTCAGCTGCAGTGCTCAGGAGGGAACTCCTCCAGTCCCTGGTATACAAAAAAATTAATTAATTTAAAAAAATAAAAAAATTCCTAGACTTTGAGTAGAAATTTGATTTTATAAACTTCAGGGAAGCCTAAAATATCTCTACAATATTTTAGTTTGTTTCTAACCAATAGGACTTTCTATATTCGAATAAAGTAGTAATTTAAAATAAAATCTTTGAAACTTTTCTTTTTAATTGGATCTTACCTTCTGTCCAAAAATAAATATTTATAAAGGGGGATTTATCTTGCTGGAGTTATTTATTTTAATTAAAAAAAAATATTTCCTTGTACTTGAGAAGTGATATAATGTATTCATTCTATAATAATGACAAGATTCTTAAATTATTATTTTTTTTAACAAAACAAACAAACAAAAAACCTAACATAAAAAGGTACATGTGCAATGAGCAAATTTCAGAAAACTATGTACATACATGCTTGCTGTACTATAAATAGTATCCTTGTGAATTTCTTATATTAATTTTAATAGATTACAAATTAAAGTCGATGGTTGATAATTGTATGTAAGTTGATAATGATTGCCTCGCTATGCTGATCCTGTAGAGAGAAGAAAATTTGTTTCGACCTCGAGGAAATGCTATTCTTGAATATTGGTCTCCGATGTTGAAAAAAAGTCCTCTTGTATGATCCTAGGCCAAGGATGTCTGATTTAGTGCAGATAATCAGCTCCCAAGAAAAAAGAAGTCCTGTCTTCACCCAGTACCGTTCATAACTCCCCCGTAGTCCTTCCCCTCTCTCTTCGGGCCAGCGCCACACTGTATTTGTTATATAGCATAAAACTATAAACGGAGGTACACTACAAGGATTGATCCTCTCTCTCTTCTTCTCTTCAACTTGTACATCAATGACCAGTCTCCATCACTATTGTTAGTAGTTGACACTGTTGTTCTGTCAAAAAAGATGTGGTCGTTGGATCAATAGATATTTTTGTATTTAAGTCTAATACACACTAGTAGACAATATCCCGAGTCATGGCTATAGACAAATCTATAGAAATTCTGCGATTTTATAAATAGACAAATATATTCTGTGACTCCCCGAAGATAAAAATTGTAGGTATATGGTATCACATCTTGCCTGAAAAATGAGACAAATTGCACATTTATCAATGTGGATGTTTTAATAAAGAGAAAATACATGATGGTCGCTTTCATGTTGCTTATGGGATGTTGAATCGAATGATCATAAAAATGCAATAAGAGAATTTTGAAGATATGATATGGGTACAAAATATTAACCCTCAGCAGTTTGATAACAAAAATTATGATTCCACAAGCAGCAATGTCACTTTAATGTTGTGTGTAGATACCATTTTCTCAATATCTCGAAAATTATTTGAGCTGAGGTATACATGTCTGGAAATGTGACATAGTCTCTAGATTAACTTGGAATTGTGTATAGCAAAATGCCTTCGAGCATATACTAGCCTTTACATCTTGTTACTGACACATTCGAAAATAAAATAATAAAATAGTGCTACAGTTTTAGCTTAAAATTTATTATTTAATTACAATAAAAAGGGGAAAAAAAAGGTTTCATTTGAGTCTGACATTGCTAAATGCCCGAAGCCTTTTTTTTTTTTTTTAACTATTTAACTTTTAGATAATTACTAAAATCATAAAATATTACTACTGAACATTTTTTAGGTATTGTTCAAGGAAAGAAGGATGAATCAAATATGAAACTGAAGAAAAAAGAATCATCAACCTATTCAAGTTATTATTCTTTAATTTTTTTTATTTGTACTCATTTCAAATAAATTTTCATGAAAAACTTTCACTTTTAAAGTTTCAGAACGAAAAACTTCTAAGCTTTTTGCAAAGTTGAAAAAAAGCCAGTCGCAACAAATGTCTTCGTGTAAGTCTCTATGTTTCCATTTTTATTCTTGTATAAATTGCATTGATGACAAGAATTTTTTTTGTTTTTAGTTCTCGCTAATAATTTTAGCCACCAGGTTCATGTAAATGGCCAGCATAACAAGAAAGTAATCATTTTTGATGTAAATTTATAATAACTTTTGCTTTAATAACTTTTTTTTTCTAGTCAAAAATGTGTGTAATACTTTAACAAGAAAAGGGAAACATGAAAATATGGAAACAAGGTGAAGCAAATATATGATAATATATGTGTAATGCTTATCTTTTAATTACAAAAATATAATTTAAACATTTTAAATAAATATAATAAAAACGTCTGTATAGAAACATCACAATATTATTTCATCTAAATAAATAATCGACTCTTACATTTTAAATCTATGTACAATATTAAAAGTACATTTGATATAAAGGATTTGTTACAAATACAGCAAAAAAGGCGAGTGAGACAAATATGTCAATACAATTGAACATCTGTAAAAAAATATCACCCTTAATTAGAATATTAAAAGCTAGTAACATACTAAATAACATTTTAATATAAATTAACGCTTATTTTTAATATAATAAATATTCTCTTATTTGCAGATAATGGAAAACATTAGTGTACAAAAAATTAGTTAAGGAACTAAAATAATATCACTGTCCCTATATGAAAGTGGAGAAAGGCACTTAGAAGACTGTATATTTGTAAATAAATATAAAAATATACTACATATTGTGTAAAATATTTCACTGGTAAATTTTGATTTAATTACATTATTAATTTTAATATATTCAATCGCTTAAAATAAATTAAGGCACTTGATTAAAAAAAAGCTATGCGTGTAATTAACTTTTTGTCAAATAATACGCTTTTTAAAGGCATAAATCTTTATAAAGTCATTTAAATATAATGTAACTAACCACAAGTTTTGTATGTATATCACGTTTTAAATTGCACTTGTATTTTTCTAAAGGCACATTGTCAATTGTTAACAATAAATCGTTCGTCATTGATCCTGGTTCTTTGTATTCCTCGGATAGTACGACAGAGCATCCAGAGTGTAAGTTCCAGGTTCAAATACCGGAGGATATTCGAGACCCGGATAATCCGGAGGTGGAACTTGATCCAAATCCTAGACAAAAACAATCTCAATATCTAGCTGTAAAATATTTAATTCAAAAGTCAACTTACGGAAGATCGAAATTGTTGTAGTTGATTTCCGTCAACTTGGCTGCTGCTTGTACCTAGAAGAAAATCCATTAGAGAATATTCAATCACGTTTGTCAATGTCGGAACAAACCTTGATTTGACGGTTTTTTAATTTTAATTTTTTTCTTGGGATCATCTGTTCTGCGTAGTGAATCAATCCAAAGCGTTTCAGGTGGCCCGTTGCGATAATTATTAGCGTAGGCATTATTCAGTTGTGGTGGTATCCTGTTCCTCTCATCATATCCTTTAAAAAATTTAATTAAGTATATAAGAAGCGATATTCTATTAAAAAATACGATCCCATGATGCTTCCCAACCGTATGCCCAGCAGATTTAAAACTACTTATTTTAAATACTGTAAAAGGAGAGTGGGAAAACCGCAGTGCTCATAAAATAGAAATAACCCTCTAAACTGTGACAAGATAAAAGAATGTCAGAACCCGGTCCACGAAGAACGGGTCAAAAGGGAAATGGCCATATTGACAAGACTGCACATAAGTCATACAAAAATAATGCATGGGCACCTTCTAGCCGGAAAGTGGCAATGTAGGTGCCCTCCATGCAAGAACGATCGAGCACATTTTCAATTGTAGAAGACTTGATGTTTATAGGCAATATTTTGATAAATCATCTGACCTGTATGTAGTGTTGGAGTTGTTACCTCAGAGCTATAATTTTTTTTTTTTTAAATGTATACAGTGTTTGTGTTGTATCTGTGTTTATGTAAATCTATTATAATGAATCCAATTTATTAATGCGAAAAGGAGTAGTTTAACCTGGCCTTTGGAATATCATGTACTTTGGGGTGAGTGTGTGACGTAGGGAGAATAAAAGTAAGTTATTAGCAAGAATGGAGTGGGTTCTGCTCTGAGGAATATCAAGTCTTCTGGGGGAGTGAATATGGCCATACTTCTATGCTTGTACAGGGTGATTATGCATATGTGATATAGCGTGTCTCTTCTTTTTTGTTGGGCCCAATCCTGAATTCGGAAAACCGAAAACAAGGTCCCAGAGGTTTTTTACGATCGGACCTGACTACAATTATTTCATTTATTGATCAGGCACCTTTTATATTTCATTTGAACCAAAGTAAATACGACACCAAATGTTTGTTAAATTTGAATCTTTAATTACAATTTATTTTCACATAAAATGACAATATATTTTATTAATTATTATTTTTAATTTAAAGAATCCTTTTATCCTATAACAAACCTATCTCAAATCTACAAACCTTAATTTTAAAATGGAATTTGATTCTCGGGGACCGCGGTAGCCGAGTGGTTAGCATGAGAGACTCTCACGCCGCGGTCGTGGGTTCGATTCCCACCGTTGCCCCTGGCCCTTTTTTCCCAATAACCCCCGAAATTTGAACACACATATACGAATTTGTCACATGGCTAATATGCATAGTTCATAACGCCAAAAAAAAANAAAAAAAAAAAAAATTTGATTCTCGTTTTATAGTTCCATAAAGAAAAGAAATTATTATTATTATTATTAAAATTTGGACCACCAAATTAGAAAATACAATTAAAATATTAACATAACTTTTAAAATGAAATATTATTTCTTTTATTTTTCTTTATAAACATATATACCCTTTTAAAACTAAATTACAATTATTATTTTTTATTTTGACGTCAAAGTAATAAAAATTAACTCACTTGAATAGTGTGCACACCAAATTTTTCTTTTTACCAAAAATAGCTGTTTACCCACACAAGCCAGAAAGGGATCTCTTCTAGGACTTGAAAAAAATAGCCCTTTCTTGGCCCCTACTCCTTTCACTGTTTGAGTGTGTGGAGGGGCATGGCAGTTCATTTAAATCTGAATGTGACATATATACATGTATTGGGTTTATTCTGTAGGTCGTAACCTGAGGTACAAATGAAAGGCTAGCATTTTTGTATATCGACTTAATGTTCATATAAAACCAGAGAGTCAGTGATAGACTGGGATGCTCAAATGGCTGTACGTTGACCAAATTTGTCGGCCCCTAAACTTCCCACATTATTGCTATTATTCTATTAAAAAGAATCAAAATTGGTGAATTTTTACCTGGGATTGGATGGTTTAGAATAGGAGCTGAGATATGAGGTCGGCGAGATTCTTGCGAGTTCCTTCCATCCCTGAATATAACCCTCCTTCACAAAAATCATAAAGTTAAATATTTTATTGCCAAAGTCGTAAATAAAGAATACGCACCTTGGTACAGGAGGAGTGTTCTTCGCTGTGAGAGAAGCGAGCCTGTAATCCGCCATTTCTGGAGGTAGTTTTGAGTGCTCTTGATGTTCTCTACTCTGGCTGAGCCCACTGTCAACATCAGAAAACAAAATTAGGAATAAAACGCTTCGATAAAAAAAACAAAAACAAAAAACTACATAATGAATTAAGCAAAGAGAAATAATAGTAGTTGATAAATACATGAATAAGCCAATGTTAAGCAGGTGTGAGTTAATAAGTACTTTTGTATTAACATGGAAAGTAACCCAACACAATTTATAAATTTGCGTGTGCTGTGAAATTATTCATGTGCAAATTGTTTAAATTAAGCACTTAAACATAAAATCTGCAAGAAAGTCAGCGAGGATAAATTGTGCAGGGTACTTTTGTTGCAAAATGGTAAATTTTTTTTTGCATAAATATTTAAACAAAATGATTGATTATCAATCAAAAATATTCCATAACAGTTTCTATTTGCTTGTTTTATTTTTTTTTACAATTAATGTGAAATATTTACCTAAAGAAAAGAACCAAGCTTTTTCAATTTAGCAACTGGTTACATGCAACATGCAAAAGCCTGCTGCCTCAGAAGAGGAACACCTAGGTACAATCAATGTTTCATTCCTTTTCTGTCTTGTTATTCTATGTGACCGTTAAATTTTATCTGGAACATGCAAATAGTTATTCTAAATTTTGTATTTTTTCATGCAATTTTTCCCAGAATTATTAATAAACTAAAAAAAGAGTTTGATAGTTTTTTTTTTGATTAAATAAAATAAGTATATGTTTTTGTTTTGATAGTTGCAAGAAGTTTAGTCGGACAATAGACTAAAAAAAATTTCCTCAAGGATCCAATAGCCAAGAAAAAATTATGCAGTATGAAAGAACATTTGAGAAATGAAGTAACCAGTTTTAATGACAAAATTTACTTTGCAAAGTGTGGGTTGTTTTGTTGGACTTATAAAATAGAGCATCTTTCTGAGGATTAGGAATTTGGCAGTTTGGATGTGACGGATATTACAATGTTTGGCTGAACCCCACACTTCCAGTCTGTAAGTTCATATCGGCTTCATTATGGTATTGCAAAACAGCCTTTTGTTAGTAAGAGGTAAGTTAAAGTGTTTGTCAATAAGTCATGGGGTCATTGGCTGAAATGGTTCAGGCATTGACACGGCGATCATCACTGTAAGGTAAAGGTTTTGGGTTCGAATCTAGCGACCCTGCATTTGAACCCGACTTTACAATGGGCTTTTTTTCAAAAAAACACTGGCCCCTGAGGGTTGATATGACCTTTGCTGTTGCATGTCTATATCATGTCGTAACCATTTGATGATTAAGTCGTGGGGATTTCACATCAAGTGTTTGTAAATGTACGTCCAGGTTGTGCGGGTGGATTTTTCTGGTTGAATTTTATTCTCTTCTTTTCACTCCAAGACTCAAGTAGGGTGAGAAGTTGAAGTTTTTGAGTGAAAACGATTGGATCAGAGTTACTTGGAAGGATTGCTGTATCATCTGCAAAGATTAGTGTGGATTGAATGAGATGTGTACACCTGGTGCAGTGTTTGGGTCAGAGCTACATAATTAAGGTTTTTAGCTGAGATAAAAAAGTCAATGGCACGAGTGGGATTCGAACCCGTCATGTAGTCGAGAATCCAATCGGTTACACATTTGAAAAATGGCAAAAATGAGAAAAAATTCAAAAGGTGCGGTTGAGATGGGAAGTTGGTGTCCAAGTGGATCGAGGTCATGATAGCTCAAGTGGCAGAGCAGCGGCGTATCAAGCCGAAGATCGTGGGTTCGAATCCCGCTCGTGCCATTAACTTTTTTATCTCAACTAAAAACCTTAATTAATTGTAATATATTAATTGGTCAAACGGACCAAGAAATTAGTGAATTGTTCATAATATATAATGGAATATTATGGATTTTCCTTTGGGACATCTTTGATTAATTGATTACTTTCACGTCAAATAAATTTTAAAGAATAATGGAAAGCAATGATTTTGAGACTCCTACAAAAGGACCTGAACAAGACACTGATAGTAGGCCAAACGGACTTGATAAAATTAAGACTGCTACAATCAGAAGAATTTATTAATATTTTAAAATCCCAGGCTTGAGAAGTAATTTGAAATAGCCCAGAATTACCCCGTATTCCAAAAAAGCACCGAAACAAATTAGTTGATAATTTGGCCGACACAATACTTAAAAATATGATTAATAAAAATTTTAAATTCATTTCATCGAGGGTATCGGACGGTGAGGTTGTAGAAAAGACTGGACCGAGTGAAAAGATAGGCTTGACGAGGATAATAAAAAGGAAAATGAAAGTAAGATACAAAAAATCAAGGAACCGAATGCAAAAACATATGCCATGGTTGCAGCAGCACACAGTTCCGATTCAGAAGGAAGTAATAAAAAACAATTTGTTCCTAAATTTCAGTCGTCCGATTCTGAAAGTGATTGTCGAGAAACAAGATGGCAATCACGCCAACTCGAAGAAAAATTTATAAGGGCTTCTAACTCCATAAATCACTTTTAAACCGAATAAATAAATTGCCACATTTGGTTCTAAATGATCCCGATACAATATTTACATTTTTGTGTGCATTAAGACCTCTTCTTAATCATTATCGTTCTTTAACATCGGAAATCTTATTTGTTATTTCCGAACAAACAACAGGGTCAGTTAGTCATTTGCTTTACAATAAGGCTAATACAAAAAATATAAATTTTAAAATCTTAAGGGACTCTGTGTAAATTTCATATTTCTCCCCAACAAATTTTACAATTAAAAACCAAATATCTTTTGAGACCTCAGTCAAGTAAAGAAAGCCTAAGAGAATTTGTTGACCAGCAAATTGAATATTCAAAAATTTTTGGAGATATTTCTGAACAGGAAACCATTCAAATCATTCTCGAAAGAGTAAATCCACAGTTTTTAGGTCTAATTGGAACACGTGTTAAAATACAATCAATTGAAGAGCTTTATCGAGAAATATCTAAGATTGAATTAATTTTAACAAATAGAGCCCAAAAGTCAAGTAATTTTTTTCCAACGGACAGTTCAGATTTGGACTCAGAATTTTTGGAAATACGTAAAAGACCTCGAAAACAACGACATAAAAATATTATGAGTTTAGGCATCAAACCGGAAATTATTCCTGATTTTAAATATGAAAGGAAGTCACCCATAAACAATGAGTCGAGAGATAATTCCCCTATAAATCGTAATAGAAAGGGTTACTACTTTTACCGTGAATCTCCTCCATACCGAATGAATCAAAGAGAAAACAAGTGGAATTTTCAAAACCCTGAACATTTTAATTACCCTCCTAAAAATTTTCATTATTATTATTGGCATAAACCCACCAATTTTAGAAGATTTGAATATCAAAGTTATCAGAACCGGGAAAGAAATCAAAATTATAATGGGAATAGGAATGTAAAACAACAAAACTTCTCAAGGGAAAATCCGTATTGTAGACATCCTTTTAATAAGCCAAAACATTATTATTGTACGTGCAATCCAGAAAATGAAAACAAACCTAATCCTTTCTCAAACCTTTATTGTAAACAAAACACAAAAATAAGAGATGATCATGGACTAAATCCGAAAGAACGTATTAATGTAAACAAATTAAGAGCCAAGACAGTTCAGAGAGAGATTTCACCTATCGAACTTAAACAGGTATACAAGATGTGTGAAGATAATAGAAAAGAGCTTTTTAGGAAATTGGGCGAGATGGTGGATGCAATAGCTATACATGATGAAGAAAATCAATTTGATTACCTAATGGAACAACATTTCCAGACTCCAATAGGTCCCGAGGATAAAGTACCTTCCAGGATCAAAAAAAGAGAAAACAAAAACGAATATCAAGAAGAGGCCAGTGATCCTGAGTCATCTGAAGAAGTATCATCTCAAACATGTACAGACGGAGAAGAAAATTACTTTGAGGGTTTAGACTCGTATCAGCCTTCTACTTCGAAAGAGGGTAGAACAAATTTGGCCGAAGATCCTCACAGATTCGAAAAATCAGCCTTACTGATTGCAAACCATCCTCAAAATAGCCCCACATTGTGTTAAAGTTGAAGATGTTGCCTACAACAATGATTCCTATACGCTTACCCTTACGTTTCCAGCATAGATAGAAAACCCAGTGCAGGGACCTACCAGTGCGAAGAAGTATGATAGAGCTCAATGTTCTTCTACCTCTGCTAGTGACTCTGGATCAACTGAGGAAGAGCTATCTGACTATTATACCTCTTATACATTTTTGAAATTTAACTCAGGAACTTTTAAAATTACCCCTTTAGAGATTGGATTACCATCAGAATATATAGCATTTCTAAAGGAAGGAAAGACAGCACTTGACTTTATCAAAAAGAAATTACAAGAGAAGTATGGTTATAAATGGGTTTGCATAAATTTATACAAGTTCCAAAGTAAAGGAGTATAATCTTTATGATTCATTAATCTCCACACTACTAAAACTTTAAAGTGAATCAGAAACTCTAAACACTAGAATAATAAAAAAAAAAAAAAACAATTAAAAAAAAAATTAANAAAAAAAAAAAAAAAAAAAAAAAAAACAATTAAAAAAAAAACAAAAAAAAAACAGTTCATGAGGTCCTAGAGGAATGACGTCAAAATTAATAATGAATGATCGCATTTTGAACAATAAAATTGTACTTTTGTTTTATATACAACATAAAATAAATAAATGTTTACGAAATTCTTTAAAAAATTAATTAGTCAATCAAATGATTAAATACAATTAAAAATACTATCAAAATGTTAATGTTTGTACAGTGAAATTTGATTGCACAATAAATAACAATGACAGTTCAAATCATCCTCAGTTATCCATGTTTCTTTTACCTGCCTACACTTTACAATTCCTCACCTTCTTTTCCGGAACTCCTATCACAGAGTACTAATAACTTACATCTTGTGGAGCAATAATATAACAAATTTTAAAGCAGAGCGTGTACTCGATAAATAAAGAGCCATCCATAAACATGGCGGAATCGCAACGGGGAATAAGAACGTCTTCCAGTACCCAATTGGACAGCCTGGATGCAGCAGCTAGCAACAGGTTTTACCTACACGTCAATAAGGAGCCGAATGTGACGGACCAAAGTAACTTCCAGATTCCCCTAGGCTATGATAACACAGGAAGGATGGTAGTCAGCAATATGCTACAACTACTTGGAGCAGTAGCAACGTCAACAAGACCCCGAGCCAAGTCAACTCACCAAGTCAACCCGGAAAAGATGACACCACCTATGCAAAAGAACGTCAAGAGCTTCATCTCACACAACAAGAAGTACGAAGAACTCTACTATAAAAAAATTCAAAACATTGTATTTAAAATAATCAAATATTTTCATTTTATATAAAATATTGAACGAGGGGGTGTCCTCCCCTTTTTAACTAGTGGATATTTTGTCACACTGCGTGAGACAATCCCCTTAATATTGTTTTGCTTACTCTTTGGGATTTAACCCAGTGAGAGAAAGACCTCCGCCCGAGTAAGACGCCCCGTTTAATAATTGGTCCTGTGAGTAAAACAAAATACTATTCCTTCAACTGTCAAATTCAAATTTTAATTTCATACTTCTCTTAAGATTAAAAAAGAAAAAACCAGTGCGTTAAATTGCTACTTTTACATTTTATTTAATTTTGTTTTTTATCTTGTTCAAAAGTCTCACTTTTATTTTGTAATATTTAAACTATTAAATAATATTCTGAAGATATAAAATTTTAATTTTGTTTATTTCATCTCTTTAATTCTAACATTTCAAAATTTATCCATTATAACAAATAAAGGTCAATTTTATTGTTAAAAGTAAAATCAATAAAAAAAAGGTATCTGGCAAATTTCAAAAATTATAGTCAGACCGATCGAGGGATTTCCTCTGGGACCTAGACAAAGTTTAGGTTGGGCCTATCCCTTCCTTAAAAACAATTACTAGTTAATTGTGACAATATATATGTGTGTATGTGTGTGCGCGTGTGTGTGTGAAGTGTTAACGGTGTCTTTTATATTGACTGTTAGTTGTTCTACTGTGAAGTCAATGTCATCATGTGTTTATACATGAAAAATATATATCTTTATTTCACCAATATATAAATATATATATTTAGTAGTCATAATTGACTGTATTAATTATTTTAATTAATTATATTTTTTATCTAAGGTCTTGGTTGAGTTGACAAAGGTGGTGTTGGCACAACTCTAACTAAGAAGTTATGATATAACGGCTTATTGAGCTGAAGATCATGGGTTCGAATTCTGCTCGTGACACTAGCTTTTTCATCTGAACTAAGACCTTAGATAAAAACTATTATTAATTTAAATTATATAAACATTTAATTCATTCTTTGATTACACAATTCCAAATTTGGCATTTAAAACTAAATAATTTTTGAAAAGCTTAGTATTTTGTAAAAGTGATATTTCAAAATCTCCTTGTAGAAGATTAAACCTGCAAAATTAAAAATTCTTTATATTGTACAGAATAAAATCAGTATTGAAAAAAAAAGTTTTACATATTTACAATAATAATATTTTGAAAATGAAACTAAAATGAATTGAAGTAATGTTGAATGCAACTTCAAATAAACTGTAATATTATTATAAGTTTTAGCATAAATAGCAAATACTGTTAATTCCATCATTGCTTAAATATATTTAACAACACATTTTATATACACCTCAAATTTGGCTTTTATGTTCAAAAAATAAAATGAAACACAAAAATTAGATTTTCCGTCACCCATTTAACAAAGTTGGTAGAATATTCACAACATACCTATTATTGTTAAGATTGTTGCTATTTGTATTTGGAGACGGTGTCGTATTGTGCACTCTCCTGTAACTTCTGTATTGTGCAGTCGGGACCGGCATAGGGCCTGTGCCAAGAATCCTGAGGCATTTTCTATCCAGACTGCTTCCACCGCTGCTGCTGCTGCTGTTTGTCCGTCCTCCTAATTTTTTAAGCGATCCGAACATTTTCGAATCCTTGTGTTCTTTAGGCTCCTTCGAATCTTTGTGTTCTTTGCGCTCTTTGGACTCCCTGAACAATAAAATAAAACGTCAATATATAATTATGAGCATGTACTTGTTGTAGTTACATCGCTGCCGGCTGGACTTGAGGCCGAGGTGCTGGTGTGGGAGGTATCTGCGATTTTTTAATAAAATGTTGTACCGATTCTGTCTTTTCTTCACCTTCACTTTCGCTGTACAATATTTCTACAACCAACAATAATTGTTAGGAAATAATTAAAATTATTTTTTAACCAGCGTTTACCTTGTGTATTGGGATTTGGACTTAGCGTCGCTGTGGAAATCGCGTCCAACCAAACATTAAGTTCAAAGTTTGTATCCGCAGCGAAATAAAACATTGTTCCTGTGTGGTACACTTTAAATGCAAAAGGACGACTCTTGACCTCTTCCGCTGGTGATACAGTAAAACCAGGCAAACAGACCATTGTCTCGGCTTTGGTAACCTACAAATTTGCCTTCTGATAATTTTTTCCCAAAAAAGCACAAAGAAAATGACCTTTTATTTAAGGTTATTTTGGGTATGTAGATCACCCAGTCAATAATTTGAAAACTCCAAAAAGCCTAAATTACTGATTTATATAAGCTAAATTTTGTACATGTACATATTAATAGACGTGTACAGAACTGAACCTATCACTTAACTTTAAGTAAGTTTTTCTTTTACTTGAACCATTCGAGCTGCCGATTGATGGTTTCGACAATTTTTCCACGTTCCTCGTTATATTTTGTTTCAAGGAAAAATTCAGTGCTGAGTAATTAATTTATAAAAATTGTGTAATTATATTTTATTTATTATATAGTGTAGAAAATTACCTGTTTTGACTGAAATGTGTACAAAGTGTTTGAGTGGATCAAGCACCACCTTTTTACCCAAGTCCCAGAACCTTTTCTACACCTTTGTAAAAGCCAACCATCACATTCTACTGTTGGAAAGTCTTTTAAGCTTATATTTCTTCTTTCTATTACAAAAAAATAAAAAATAAAATAAAAACTAAATCGAATAAAAAATAAAAATAAATACAAAATATTTAAAAAAATATGGTTTTACAACAAATTTACTCTTAGTACTTACTTGCTAGTAGAGGGTTCTTCTTTCTTTGGGTTTTAGGCGAGGCTTTGCCCAATGAACGAGCTGCCATTATGGCACGATAGCAAGCGTTTGGTGGTTTGCTCAAACTTGGACGAGGCGGTGGTATCGGTGGGGAGGGGTTCAGCTTAATTCCAGCTTTCGGTAATGTCTGCCTCTCTTGGGACGAGTCAAAACTTTTACTGGCAGTGCTATGTTCTGAGTAATCACTCGAAGAGTAACTTTTGGTTGAAGCGCTGTCGTAATAATCTTTATAATTTGCTTTCATGTGCCTGTCTTGTAATGAATTGTACTTATTAATTTCCCTAGCGTTTTCATACTGGTCGTACAACGAGCTTACACTTTCCTTTTTCTGGCTTTGTCCCAACCTTTCTCGAGTATCATGAAATTTATTAAGGCTATCAGTACTATAGCTTTTATCTTGGTTCGCCATGTGAGACATGTGTTTAGGATGTACAAAGTCATACGAAATCGGCTCCCTCTTGCTGTACACAGGCGGAGGAATGGATTTTTGCGTTAAAGACGGAGGTTCAGACATACTAATTTGTTCTTTGTTATTTATAATATCCTCTGTGTTAACCCTGGAAATAGTTTTAGAAAGTTCTGAAATGTATTCCCTGTTGTGAATAGTATTATTCTGATGTGGTAATGAAGATGTTGTGTATAGTCCATAAACATTTTGCCTTTTTGTGTCCGTATGCGAAGGAAGTGAATTGCAATTACTTGGTTTATTCATATCCACTTTTGAAAAACACTGCTCATCGTAGAAAGGATGAACGAGTAAATGCCGATTGATGGTTTCGACGACTTTTCCATGTTCCTCGTTATATTGTGTTTCTTCGCAAGTCATTTCTTCCTTGATGGATTCAGAAGATTTATTTTTAAACTGGACGCTGAAACATTCATTAGAACAGTCGATGCTTAAAGGCCTTTCTTGTAATGATTCTCTTTGATCATCGGGCTTCAATTTTTCAGGAATAATAGTTTCTATTACTTCAGATTCTTCTTTTTTGTCCAATTTATCAGTTGGTTTATTAGTTTCATTGGTCGTTTTTCCATTAGACAATAGATCATTATTTATCCGTTGATTTTTTTTAAGAGGTAGAACTTTAGGCTTTTCCTGTTTCTGCTCTCTAGAGAACATTTCAATTTTTTGTTTTATTGTTAGTGTTTCTAAATTGGGTTCTGCTTCCATTGTCGAGGAAGACGTATTGGAATTTTTATCTACCGAAGACAAACGCTCTTCGAAGTCGACTACACTAGTTGAACTTTGCTTGCCACAACTTTCTTTTTCTAATTTCAAATCATGCCAAAGCTGGAAAATCAGTCATAAACAATATGTGATAATACTTAAATGAGAGAAAAAAATGCAAAATACCTCATGTATGTCAAATGGAGGCCTTTTACTCAAAGGACTGGCACCAGTGATGGTCGCTCTCCTGTGGACGGGTTTGCTAGGAACTACCAATTTGTGTTGTACTGTCGTCACTTCTTCATCAGAACTCATCGAGTCCCTAGATTCTCTCGGGCTCTCAATTTTACTTTTATCAGGAAGTTTTAACCTACAAAATGCAGATATACTTAAAAAAAAGCCAATTTTTACTTGATAATCACTATACCTTTGAATTGGTAATCTGAATTGTAAACGTGTTAATAGTTCAGGCCTTGGGACAAATCCGTGCGAATGCGTGGATCGTTTTTTACTCGGCAGCCTGTAAGGTTTCACGTAAATTTGACCGTATACTTTCGTATGCCTGGGACGTTTTTTTAATGTCATTAACACTTCAGTCGGCGACTCGGCAAACAAGTGCATTACTTGTTTTACATCCCAACCGACCTATAAAAAAGTGTTCTGTGTGAGCAAATTACACTAGCAAAATATATCTTAATTTTCTATTTTAAACGCTTACAACTGTTTGGTAATTTATTTGTATTATTTCATCACCAGGTTCTATTTTACCACATTGATGAGCTGCACTATTCAATTTTAAGTCACTAATTTGATGAATGCCTCTAAAGGAAGGAACAATGTAGAAACCCTGCAAAAATAACAAAATCTATGTTAAAGGACTTTAACAATGTGATGTTAGCTGAATGAGTGAACTGTGACAAATTCAATCACAAAAGTAGATAAAGGGTTGAGATAAGAAAAAGGAAGTGCTATGATTGTGTTGCTCGCTTAATTCAAAGAGAAATAACTTTGTTTATTCAATTATTCTAGATTCTTAAAAAAAAAAAAAAATTACTAAATCATCGGATGATCTCTTTTTAACGGTTGCAAGATCCAACGACGCAGGCTGTAATATCAGAGGATCAGTTATTTCTTGGATTATCGTATCGGCTAATTTTCCAAGTTGTGCTGACGCGTCCTTCATGTCAGAAACAGGTGCCTCGGCGAACCTGTCTCTTTGGCCGCATGTTGCCATTCTTAGAGCAAGTTTTAAAACTTCGCACCTTGTTGTGTTGTACTGTAACTGCCCTGAGAAACCAGGCCTGAAAAATAAACGTATGGTCAACTACAAGAAGTTTTTTTCGTATAAAACTTTTGACTATATTTTCTACAATTTTCTCTAGTGTGTTCACTAATGGTTATATAATTTATTAAAATATTGGTTCTGGAATATTCTTTTGCTTAATATTTTACAAGTTGTTTCCATTCAACTTTCTTCTAGGGGCTTGTAATGTTTTTTATTACGCTTAGTAAGTTCTAGTCTATCAATACATATACATTGCTTTGCCTTCAATAACTTTTGTTCTTTCCATTCATACTTTTAAAAAAATAAGTAAGTATTTTTTGTATTGGCTGTTTTTCACAAATCAAACAGTTCTGTGAGGCTCATAAGATTCTGTGATATAGATAGAATGACTGACTTTTATTTAGTCAGAAAATACAAAATGAAAAACAATTTATATAAAAATATTTGTGGGAAAAACACTAAATAAATTAAATCTAGAAGCCTACAGGTTAAGAAAAATCAAACTAAAAAAAGCCACCAAGATCAATTTTAGTATGAGATACAGCAGTTAATTAATAAGTAAATAATTACAAATAATTTTTGAATCAATTTTTTTGAATTGTAATTTATTATTTTGATCTGCTTAGCCTTGCACACCATAGATGGCAAAATGCCGAAAGACGTCTGCAAGACCAACCCAGCAAGGACAGATTGAAATGATCAGCAATAACCAAATTACAGGTTAATCACACCATATCACACGAAAAAATCTCAAATTTTCTGATCATTTGGAATGCATTTACAGTGTACATAATTTAAAATTTAAACTTAAATTTTAAACTATCGCCATTTCTTCAAATGGTTTCATTTTATAATCTTTCACCGGGGGTTAAAGTTATCTTATAAAATAAAAAAATATTTTAAAAAAAGTCCAAACATAAAATAAAAAATTACATACCTATCCAGCCAAGCTATTAAAGGTTTAACATTTGTTACAATTGTTGCTATATCTGCTAGAATTTGTGTCGAGAGCCTTTCCATTTCTGTATGACTGTGGCATAATTCGTTGTGAAGGCTGTGAGCAAGGCAAGACAATCGCATTGCCAAAAGCTGGAGATTTTCCCTATCCAGTTCATAATGCTTAAAAATAAAAATTAAAACAAAAAATAATAAAAACAAAAAGGAAAGCAAAAGAATGAAAAATAAAACAAAAATCAAAAGGAGAAAAATAGACAATAAATAGTGATTCGGTAGAGATGTGTTTTGTTGTGAGTGTGTGTGTAATTATGTTTTGTAATAGGGGGCCAGGATGGATGATGAGGTCATCCCCAAATGATGGCCTTAATAATCACATGATTTATGTAATTACTGGCCAAGGTATCATTTTCCATTCTCCCAACCTTTTCCTTTCTCATTCTTCACTTTTAATATTACAAATTATTTTTTTGAAAGAAAGTATTTATTTTATATCAGGGTTAAATGGAAGGCATTGTTGGTCTGAGTATTAAAAAACACAGTTTGAAATAACAGCCCTAAGAGTCATCATTTTACAAGAAAATCTACTTTTTACTTTAATAAAACAAAATACAAAAATTATGTAATTTTGAGTAAATTTTTAATTATACAAATAAAGTCTCTAACTACACAAAAATCTACATTCTTATTTTGCTGAACAAGACTTTTAAACAATGTTATCTAATAACAAATAAATTTATCTGTTTACAAAATTGTTGTATTGGTAAACTGGTTGAATATTTAAATAATAGTCTAATCTATAATAGAATTACTTAGGGAAGTAGTCGTTTCAAATTAAAAATCATTCAAGAACTAGGAGGGGCGATACAAGCCTAGGCCAAATTTAGACTCAACAAAAGAACAACAAAGGGAGCAAGAAAAGCAAAGTACAGTGTAATCTGTGTAAACTCAATCCTACAGTTATATTCCATGTCGGTGTTAAATGTCTATTTATATTTCACAGATTGAGAAAGTGTGGTCAAAAATATCACTACAGGATATATCTTTATTTTTATACAGAAGTACAGGTGGAATTAGATATTTGAGACAAGAAAATACAAAAATCTGTACTGTAACCACTTTGTCAAATATTCAATTCATTGTTAATACAATTATCTAAGAGTTTCAGACAATTCTAACACGTATATGTATTTTGTATATAAAAAATACTACGGAGAACACAATATTATAGTATCACAGATAAGCTTTGTTCTATTATATTATTTTTTATCTATTAAATATTCATTAGTATTATATAAATCTTTACCTTGGCAAAGTTATACAGATATTTTCAAATTTTGTTGATATATTTTAAGTGTAAGTATTTTAGGGTGTATATATTTGTATTTTTTTATATGTGTATTTTTTTAAGGGTGTAATTAACCAATAAAGTTGATGGGTCGTTAATATTGTTTGTGTTCTAATGTTTTTCTGACATTAATAATGTCCACAAATTGACAATTATCCTTTTAATTTATTAAGAGATACCGAGTCTCTAATGGTAATATTTTTTGTGTCTGTATGTATTGACATATGTTTGTTGTTATTTGTTCCTATTTTATGCACCAAATCTTGCAAAAAATTACACCAAAAAAAAAATAAATAAAAAAATGAAAATTTATGCAAAAAATGTTTAACGTCTTTTTACAAATAATCCAAATATGAATTATTGTTATTAAAGAAATAAAAGTGATGTCTGCAATGTTTCTTTTTGATTGTTGCCTCCGATCATCCTGGTCTGCTAATTCTCAAGGTTTAGTCTGACAGGTGCATTTCGGAAATGTTTGAAAACCCATCTGACACGCTAAACCGGTGAGAATAGGCAGACCAGGATGATCGTAGATGTTCAAAGTTAATCACCTTGCAAACCTCAACACATTTTGTTGACGATGTCATTGTTTTGTGAATTACAAGATGAATGAATCATTCTTTTCAAAAGCCCTTTTTTTAGAATACGTATTGACAAAGAAACCATGTGGCACTTTATTTGCATTTATGGGTACACAACTGAGAATTGGTCACAAGAGAACGATTTATTCTCAGACCATTAATCACTTTCAAATTAAAATTTGTTTTTTGTTTAGTCTTCAAATGTTATTGTTCTTGGTATCATTTTAATCCTTTACTATTATGTTTAGTCAGCCACAATTTTATGCTTAGGGTTTGTATCAATATCCCTCGAGTGAAAACACAGCCACTACCACAAACAAATATGAAAATGTACGCAATTTGAATGTTGCCTGGAAGCATGTTGGTTGTTGTTGCCAGTAAGAAAAATTACCATATCGTTTTTGGTCTGAAGAAGACCACTTAAAGACCATACCTAAAAGAGCATTCTGTCGATTTTGAACTCTATTTGGAACAACTTATTCGATATCCAACTTTGGTCAATAGGATGAATGTTTTGTTTTTGACAGGAAAGCATACATAATTTCATACAAAGCAGAAACATTCTGAAAAAGAGAGAATCGAATTATCGCGCCCTATAGTCCTGACCTTGCCCCTTCAAACTTTTCTGAGCAATGGCCCACTTCCCTTGAAGGAATGTTTTAATACTTGTGTTAAATTTACAATATAACTATGTAGTTTTTTAGGTATTTAATTTTAAATCATTAAAAGTCATTTACTACACAAGAATGTCTTGCTGTGTTTGGTGAAATCTATATTTTACTATTGTAATAATACTCACAATGCTCCTCAGGTGTTCTATCCCTTCGAGTATGATTTCTTGATGGCCTATTTTATAAATTCCTAGATGTTCCAAGTCGTCTGGCCCGAACCCAAGCAGCTGCTGGCCGTTGACTCTGTTGTTCGAGAACGACTGAATGTACAGCAGAATGGAATTGTCGAGGCCTATGGGCAAAAAAAGTTACCATAAGTGATCATAGCTTAATTTGGCCAGAATGAAAGATCCGAGTGTAATTTTTCAAATTGATCACAAATATAAAAATCAGTATATTAATTAATTCGATACTAGTTTTAAAGAATACAGGGAGGGTTTCAAAATCTAGAACTATCAATTATTTTTTCGTGAAGCATATTTTTATTTTTTTACAGAACACACGACTAGAGAACAGGCAGACTGAGTCCCTAAGGTGCATCAGTATTTTTGCTCCATGGTGTTAAATTTATTTGATAAACCTTTTAAGCAATCAAACAACATCAACATTTGAACTTATTTTTTCTCCCGGGGTCACTGGGATGTTTTCTTCTAATGTGACCTAAAAGAACTACTGTGAAATTGCCCCTTCTTTATTTCCAGGTCTCAAAAAGTGCACAACCCTTTCCCTTCCTCTTCACTTATTTCTTTAGACATCAAAATCGCCTTTCCGAAGAGGCTGTGCCATTTCCAGACAAAGCTTTGCATTTACAAAGGACATAGTCCAATGTCTCAGCTTCTTCATGAGGATATCAAGTTTTTGTTCAATCAGGCAGGTTTCTCCTCAGATTTGTTTCATTTTTTGAGGTGGTAATTAAATAGGTAATGGCCAATATAAAGACCTGTTATTTTCCTTGATATGTTAATAAATTCTTTGAGTGGTTTGCACTCGGTCAATTTACCCAGTGTGTGGTTAATTCCTTTAAGTGTACCCTAAATGTGTACACCATTCTTACTTAATTTTCCCATATTTCCTTATATCTTTCAATTTCTCAAACTAAAAACTTAAGCTCTTAGCTTCATTATTTCCTAAGACTAAATGCAATTAGTTTAAAGGGTGAATTTCAGGTCTAGATAGTTGTTCATGGTTTATTTTGACACTTCTGATCCAGGATGAAGAGACTAAAAGAGTGAGATTAAGGTGGATTCACGGAGGATGAGTTAACTGTTGACAAGCTCTAATTGAAGACCACTCCCACATCACAATATCAATTTTACCTATAGTTTATTTCGTGTTTAAAGCCCCGAATGGCCTTATCCCATAATCCCTGGAATTTATCTTTCCATAATTGACTTTTCAAGTAAGCACGAGCGGGATTTCTCCCCTTAGAAAGCAAGAGAGTGACTTTTGTTGTTTCAGTTTATGTAATGCAATAGAACAAGAATCCTTCAGCTAGAGAAACTGATGGTGAGAGATGGATTTGTTTCGTTTTGTTTGAACAGGGTCGAAAGGGAAATTTTCAGTTTTTTTCGAACTTTAAAACCACCCATAAACTAGTTTTATTTATTTTAAAGTAAACGTCTTCAAAAATTAAATACAGACAATTTACACGGAAGTTGCGTGTGAGTTTAAGACCAAGTAGACCTGAACAGGCAACGAGTGAGGAGGTTGTTACTTTTTGACAAGTAATTACTCTACTTTAAGATTTTCCTGTTTTAAACCGTCAGCCTTTGACGCAAATTGGCCAAAATAGTCAAGCAACTATCGCAGAAAGTTTAATATTTTGTGTTGTCCAAAAGTCGAACCTGCTTCGTCTCTAGTCGTACGTTCGACTGTCTCTTGAAAAAATAAATCTGTTGTTTTCATTTATACAAAATTTATACTCTTAAGATTCATTTTTCATACAACAGCACGTTAGTATGTCGAATTTAAAATGTAAAACGGCCTGTTTCTTTGGTTTGGGCCGTAGGGAAAATTTTTCCAGATTGATTAAGGATCATTATTGACATCTATTGTCTATGTGACATTTGACCTCCATAAAACTCCTAAATATGGCTGGGAAATTTGAAAAGAGTAATTTAGGATGCTTTAATAAATTTTGCCGCATCCTTTACGTCAAATTCGATTTGTTTTTATTTACAAGGACGATTTTCGAAACGGACCAAGGGTTAATTTCAACCTTTGTTTTGAAGATGACGTGAAAACCGTTTCCGTTCCCTTCTCGGAAAATACAATTAACTTATATATTTCTTTATATTTATATTTGAATAACAAATTTTAAAAAATAAATAATTATTTTCAATTACTGTCATGTCACCTCCTACGTCCGACGACCACGGGACTTGAAAATCTATCCTCCTACACGCTCATATATGCAGAGTCGGCCGAATTCCACGTGGAAAGAATGCTGTAGGTTATAAGTTTATATATCCTTTATTGTATATCCTTTATCTTAAGTTTGTTTTATATCCTAATTTAGAATGTACGAATAAGCACAGTAAAGGAAAAATGAAAAATTGGACGTTATCGAGGGTAAAAAGACAAAATCTGAGCAGAGAAAATGAACGCACTTTACAGAACCAAGTTCAATTTTAACTTTCCACACAGGAAAAAGTGTAAATCATGTACCGTTGGTTTACAAAAACTCCTAACGGCCCGACAATATTTTTCTTTTGAGATGAAAATTCTCTCTACAATTGCTACTTTCTTTTTATCCACAGAAGCGTTATTTTCCTATTGTCCTGTATGATTTTACTTTTTTAACATTTATTTAACAAATCTACCGACATTTTATTAGAAAATATCTAGAACTTGGAATCCTTTGGCAGAATATTACAATTATTACAATTTATTTCATTTACTGGTTCAACTAATTCTCGCACTCTAGTCTTCTTATATATTTACAAAGAGCATTATTTTCATTAAATATGTACCTAATTATTGTAGTTTCAATTGTCTTTCAGTTTTATTTTGTTTCCTCTGCCTTATTTGGTTAGTAATTATGTCTTTCATTTTTGTTGTTCAGTTTTTACTCTTTAATTGTATTTTTATATTTATCATTTATATTATTACCATGTATATACGTCCTTATTTTTTTTATATATATTATTTGTATTTTTACATATATTATTTATATGTTTTGTTATTGTAAAATGTCTTTTTTTATAGTGGATTTCGATCTGTAAATAAATAAATATTAATCAGTCCAATTAAACCCAGATGCAGACTCGAAAATTATTTTCATTGAGTTGGTGCAATTTTATAAATTTATTACAAATTTAATTTCCGTTGAAGTTCTACTTAAAATCTGTAAATTAAATGCTCGGAGGCTTTAATGACAACCGTTAGATGGCCATTTGCATACAGTTCAATGCGTGGATGACCGCCGTTTCATGCAAGTAGTACGTAAAATACCGTTTCGACTTTCATTATTGTGATGTACGATAAAATTCTATTCGATTGAACTTTAAAGATAGAATTTTTTTTCTCGCCAAGTTTTCAATGGGAAAAGGCGGATGAGTGGTTTTGTCAACTTGGATCAGAAATTACGGAGATAAAAGAGCATTTTATGATTTAGTTGCACCTGACGGCCTATATATTTTTTCCTTCTCGACAAATAAAAACCGTGTAACAAGAATCCGAATACCTGATCCTACTTTGGACAAATTTACTGAAATAATGCTAATGAGGTTATAATGCGCGGCGCGTTGGTGGCGTTAATCCATCCAAAGATGTCCTAAAAAAGACAACTTTCGTATAATCAGTGCTGAAATGTTTTACATCATTGGGCTTTTTTAAAAATTAACACATTCCATGAAACAAAACGAGTTTACCAATAAAGTTTTGCATTTGAGCGGGATTAGGGGATAGGGATTAACCCTATCCCTAAGAGGGATTAAGGTCCAACTGGTTGAAAGTTGCGGATGAGGTGTCAAACAAATTTATAATGACATTTTTCATATTATTCTCAATTAAAATTCCATGTGCTAACGATCGGATTTGAACCCAGAACCATCAGAGTGGCAAACACGAGCCGTAAACCCTATCTGGTGCCCACTGTTTTACCAGGGGTGCTCAAACGGTCGATCGCGAGTGCTTTTTGAGTAGATCTCGAGAAAAAAAATTTTTTAATAAGTAGGTAGGTAACTAAACTACAAAAATGTATTACGTAATAAAATAACACTGCTTGCGGCAAAAGGTGGCTTTTCTTAAAAGTCCTAGCAGTCTATTTATTTTTGTAAAAAGGCATCATAACAACAAGTAATATGTTATTTTACAATGTCACCATAGCAGAATATCTTTTTGGTTTATAGGTAAAATAGTGTGGACAGAGGTGAAGAGCCTGGACTCGTGTTTCCCACGCTGAAGGTTCGGGGTTCGAATCAAGGCATAGCACATGGAATTTTAATTGATCACAACATTAAAAACGTATTTTATAGTTAGTCTGGCATCTATGTTTTCTTTTATAACGTCATCACTGCATGAAGACTTTATATCTTATTTTTATTTTAAATAGAATATTACGGTTAAAAATAATTGGCATCAGGTGGGGGATCTGACTTGTGTCTGCCACTGGTTCGGGTTCGAATCCCGGCAGACCATACGAAATTTTAACCAGTTATATTAAACGTCATGTAAAATAACTAATGATAATTCGGCATAATAGTAACTTCTAGTATGTTTGTTTTTAAGGAACAGAAACTTTAAGTACGTTTGTCATAATTACAATTAAAATTCCAGGATTCGAACCAGAACCATCAGCGTGGCAAACACAAGTCAGGCAACCCCACCTGGTGTCCACTATTTTACATATAGCAAATTTACTTAAATTAAAAAAGAAGCTGCGATGATGACAGTGTAAAATGAAACATTACTTGCTATTATTATGCCTCTTTATAAAAAAAAATAGACTGCAAGGATTTTAAGAAATTTAAAGTATTATACTTTTTCATATAAATTATTTTGTTCAAACCAATGATTACATGTTTATATGATTGTTTTCACAAAATATAGAATTTGTACACTATCTTAGTCATACTAGAAGTTACTATTATTCCGAATTATCATTAGTTATTTTACATGACGTTTAATATAACTGGTTAAAATTTCGTATGGTCTGCCGGGATTCGAACCCGAACCAGTGGCAGACACAAGTCAGATCCCCCACCTGATGCCAATTATTTTTAACCGTAATATTCTATTTAAAATAAAAATAAGATATAAAGTCTTCATGCAGTGATGACGTTATAAAAG